TCGAGTTCTCCAAGCCCGTCCAGAACGGGAAGCAGCACAGCCGGGGCAATTTCGACTGGAGCCTGACTTTCGGCTGGGAGGTGGTTCCCGCGCGGGAGAGGCAGCGCAGGAAGGATGAGACGTTCCCCATCAAGTAAGCCCAGCACGGGACTCTTTATCCAGCTGGGTTTGCTCTCTTTTCCAACAAATCGGTGTTTTCCTTGGTTTGGGTGCCCCTTCCCGCTGGGATTTTGTCCCAGGAAAGGCCCTTTTCACCTCCAGCCGGGCACTTGGCTCCCGGCACTCCAGCAGCTCCGAGAATCCTCGGGGTTTATTATTTTTCCTGAATAAAAGCGAGGTTCTGTTCCAGCCTCAGATGGAAAAGATTAGAGAAGCGGGAGGAGGGATTGGGGCACCGGGCTCTGACCTCCTCCTCTTTTTGGCGACAGGATTTTGGTAACAATATCCTCTTTTCACTTTGAATCCAGCTGGCAGCGAGGCCCTTTTATGTCACGCTGTCACCTCTGTCCCCTCCCAGCAGCCAGGCCCAGCCTGTCCACCAAAGCCACCACAGCTGGATGGAGGGGAACTCTGATTTTGGGGCTGTGATGTCCCAAAACTCCGATTTCTGCTCTTTTATTTGTGTTTTACCCCTTCTTTGCCCACTGCAGGTCCCCGACTTTTGCAGGTGGCCTCTTTGCCATCTCCAGGTCCTACTTCGAGCACATCGGCTCCTACGATGACCAGATGGAGATTTGGGGGGGTGAGAACGTGGAGATGTCCTTCAGGGTAAGGACGGGGGGTCACCTTCCGAGGGCACCTGCAGGGATCTCCCTGCTGGGGGGCCCAGGGGCTGGACCCCCCCACCTCAGGTGTGGCTTCCCCGCAGGTGTGGCAGTGCGGGGGACAGGTGGAGATCATCCCCTGCTCCGTCGTGGGCCACGTCTTCCGCTCCAAGAGCCCCCACACCTTCCCCAAGGGCACCCAGGTGATCTCCCGGAACCAGGTGCGCCTGGCCGAGGTCTGGATGGACGATTACAAGGAGATCTTCTACCGCCGCAACCAGCAGGCCTCCCAGATGGCCAGAGAGGTGCTGCACACACGGGGGCTGCAGCTTCTACTGGGAGGGCTGGTCCTGCTGGGAGCTCTGCCCGAGCAGCAGGAGCGGGTGGGAAACCACACAGGTGGAAAAAAGCAGCCAAAAACCTTTTTTTTTTCCTTTCTCCCCCTGGCTAGAATGTTTCCTAGTAGGAAAACATTGGGGTTTATGAATTTCTTTTTTTTTAAATTAATTTCTTTTTTTTTTCAACACTAAAACTTTTTATTCTTTTCATTTTTCAACACCAAAACTTCTTATTCTTCACCAAAATATTTCCAAGCTCTTGGGGGACCCTGTGGGTACCTGCCAGGTGACCCTCCAACTTGTCTTGGTGCTGGTCACACCACGAGGGTTGATGGCAAAGCTGGGCTGACTCCCAGCTCTGAGCCCCAGCATGGAAAGGTTTTTTTGGGATTTTCCCTACTGTTTTCTGAAGTGAATTTAATTTTCACCTGTGAATCCGTCGCTAGAAGACGTTTGGTGACATCACAGAGCGGCGCAGGCTGCGGGAGCGGCTGCACTGCAGGAACTTCACCTGGTACCTGCAGAACGTCTACCCCGAGATGTTCGTGCCCGACCTGACCCCGACCTTCTACGGAGCGGTGAGTGCCGGGCTGGCCGGGGCACCGTGGTGGGTTTGGGGCTTTGCATCAACCCGGGGAGGGGAGCTGGTGCTGCCACGTCTGTCCCCGTGTCTGTCACCGCATCTGTCACCGGCCGGCGGGGCCGGTTTGGACTCCGGCTAAGCTGGAATCCGGCAGGGCTGGTTTGGGGCGAGTCCCAGGGTGGGGAGCCCATGGGGATGTGGATTTGGGTTAAAGTCAGGGGAAGAGCTGAAAACTTCCTTGAGTCCCAAACACCTTCCTGGCACAGGGAGGGGTGGAGTGACCGAGCTGGGGATGGCATGTGGAATCCATCTCCATCCCGAGGGAATCTGGGCACGGGTGGGGGGCAGGACCCCACCTCCAGCCACCCATCCACAGGCGGGACGTGGAGGGCTGGCGCTGTCCCTGAGGGAGCTGGGGACAGCAGGACGCGCTGGCTGCGTCCCCAAGGAACTGAGGACAGGCAGGATGAGGGGCTGCAGCTCCATCCCTGACTGTGGGATCCCCCTGAGGCTGGAAAAGCCCTTTCCCTCAAGCTGGGTGTTGGATCCTGAGTCTGCCTCTCCTCAGCCAGGGCGATGTGACAGCCAGGTGCTGGGTGCTGGCTCTCATCCAGCTTTTAATTCACCTTTATTTCCTGGAACCTCAGCCCGAGTGCCTTTGCCTTTGCCCCGTGTGCCGGAGGCGATGCTCGGGCGCTCCTGATGTCCTGGAAAGGACGCGGGACCCGGAGCCGGCGCTGCGTGCCGGGATCGTGTTTGCACAGCGATAACCCAGAGCCCTGCACAGCCAAACCCGAGCCGGTCCTACCCCGGCTCCTCTGAGCCCTCTTTCCTCCACTCTCCCGGAGCCTTTTTCCTCACTCCTGCCCCTTTTTCCCACTCTCCCGGAGCCTTTTTCCTCACTCCTGCCCCTTTTTCCCCCCTTTTCCCCCCTCTCCTCCCCGCCTCATCCCCGTTCCCATCGCCTTTCCCCGCCCTTTTCCTCCCACCTCTTTTCCCCGCTCTCTCCATCTCCTTTTTTTTCTCGTTTTCCTCCCCGCTCTTTTTCCCACCACCACCTCTTCTCTTCCCCCCACGCCACAGATAAAAAACGAGGGCACCAAGAGCTGCCTGGACGTTGGGGAGAACAACCACGGTGGGAAACCTCTCATCATGTACCCCTGCCACGGGCTGGGGGGCAACCAGGTGGGCCCCCAGAGCATCCCCATCATTTCCCCCTCTGCCTGCCCCGTTTTCCCCGGGGGTCAGCGGCAGTGACGGCCCCGTTGGCTCTCCTGCAGTACTTTGAGTACACGAGCCAGCGGGAGCTGCGCCACAATATCGGCAAGGAGCTGTGCCTGCGCGGGGGCGAGGGCACGGCCGAGCTGGGCGAGTGCCAGTTCCGAGGGAAGCCCGGCCGGGTGCCCGCCAGCGAGGAGTGGGACCTGGCGCAGGTGAGGAGAACTCTCCGCCCCGGGAATCTCCCCTGGGCACGGTGCGGCCACACCGCTGCTCCTCCGGGGCTGTTTCCCTCGGTCCCATCCAGTGCTCACCCCGCGGTCGCTCACGGATCGCTTGGGTTGGGTTTTTTTTTTGGGCAGAACCGGCTGATCAAGAATTTGGCCTCGGGGCTGTGTCTGACAGCGCGGGGGAAGCACCCGGCGCTGGTTCCCTGCGACCTCACGGACCCGCACCAGCTCTGGTCCTTCACCTAAAAGGCAGCGGAGCCCCCGGCCGCGCCGGCCACGCTCAGGAAACCAGGATCAAAAAAAAATCTTCCTTGTTGGCTTTAATTTAAGACGTGAAAGCCTTAAATATGCTGCATTTCGTGGTTGCCTTGAACTGCATCCCGCGCCTTTGGGAGCCGGGCTCTGCCAGGGGCGCCCCACGGACCCCCACACGCCGCGGGCGTGGCGGGGACGCTCCTGCCGATGCTCCTCGGAAGCCGCTGCTCGTCCTCCCCACCCCGGCTGCAGCCAGAGACTCTTTAGTTCAGATCCGGCATTAAAAACGCGGATGCGCCTTCCCAGATGTGGAATCTGGAGGGGAAAATCCGGCGAGGAGGAGGAGGATGGAGCCCGTGGGGCCCCGAAAATCCGGCGAGGAGGGACCGGGGCTTGCGGTGGCCCCTGGCGGGCAATGGGAGAAGTTGGGATCTGTGCCTTAGGAATCACGTTGAAAGTTTGATATTCAGTTTTATTATTGTTATTATTAAATGATGATGATTCCTGGGTGCGACTCTCCTTGTGCTGAGCGGGAGTTTACCCTGGATGGCGCCACAGAATCCTTCTAAACAGGATCCTGAGTGCCACATCACCTCTGTTCCAGATTTTTCTGTCTATCCCAACTTCTGTAGCTGCAACTTTTGTTGCCATTTAATTATAGTGGGGGGGAAATCCTCCTGGACAAGGCAGGAGGGGGGAGAACCTGTCCTAGACACTCAGCCTCAAATAAAGAGATGATTTATTTTACACTAATCATGTCTCTAGCGGTCCTGAGCTCCCCACACTCCTCTGACCTCACATCCTTCAGTGTTCTTGTTCTAGAAACTCCCCATTTAGCCCAAAAATGAGTTTACAGCAGTTTGTGCCACAGCTGGGGGATCACCTTTGCATTGGGGTGTCCCTGTGTGGCGCAGAGCCATTGCTGCTGTCCCTCGACACGTGCCCTTGGTGCTGATGGAAAAATCATGGGATTATTTGGAAATGGAGTTCCTGGGAAATCCCGTGTTTTCCTTGGCGATAAGGACAGAACTGCAGCAGGTGCTTTTGATTGCCTTCACTTTTCTGACCTGGCTGACCCCAAGAACCCGGTGATGCCAAATGCCAGCAGTGCCTGTGCCTCGAGGGCCAACGTTCCCCCCCAAAACAACCCCAGTTTGGAGTTCAAGGGGGGAAAAATGACACTGTTTTGGCCAAAATTCCAGGGTTTATTTCAAACCACATCGCTGCTTTGCTCTGCCCCAAGCTCAGGCTCCAGGAGGCCGAGCCGCGGCCCTGCTGCAGCGGGGGCTGTGCTGGGGGCTTGGGGAGGGGCTGAAGGTCGTGCCCTGCTTGTGCCTCGATTTCCCCGTGCAGGTGCCGCTGCGGCCCCATTCAGGAGTTGGATCAAGCGCTGGGAACCATCGCACAGAGCGAGGCCGCGGAGAGCGGCGGCCGAGGCCCCGCCGGGCTGAGAGCGGCCCCGGCGCTGCGGCCGCGGGGACGGGAGGTGCCAGCGCAGGGCAGCGCCCCCGGGATCCAGCGGCGCTCGGGCTGCCCCGGGGTGCCGTGTGTGCTTTGGCACAGGGGCCAAGGCCGCTCGGGGCCGCGGCACCTGCTTCCCTTCCCGCGCCTCCTCCCGCGGCCCCGTTAAAGCGCCCGCGGGGCAGCCCCGGCGCCCACGGCGGACGCGCTCCACGATGATGCTGCAGCTGCTGCTCCTCGCCGCGCTCGCCCTGTGCGGTGAGTCCCGCCCGGAGCCTTCGGCCTCGGCACCTCCCGAGGGTCCCGGACCCACCCCCGGGGGGCTCACGCCGTGCCTCTGTCCCCAGGGCGCTGCTCCGAGCTGGATGTCGATGGCGTGCAGCGGGTGGTCGGCGGCACCGAGGCGCGCTCGCACGCCTGGCCCTACCAGGTGGGTCCTGCCGGCGTCCCGCGGCCGGGCCCGGCGCTCTCCCCGCGCCGGGACCCCGCGCTCAGCCCCGCGCCGTGTCTCGCCCCCTCCCCAGATCTCCCTGCAGTATTACTCCAGCGGCAGCTGGCACCACACCTGCGGGGGCTCCCTCATCCAGAGGAACTGGGTGATGACCGCCGCCCACTGCGTCAACAAGTGAGCGGCCCGGGGACCCCTCCTCCCTCTCGCCAAAGCTCCTTTCCCCCAAAATCCTTCCCGAGGAGAAATTCTGGCTGCCCCGACCACCAGAGCAGCCGTCCTTGGGGGGCTTTTGGGCTCCTCGGGGCTCCTCGGGAGCGTCCTCTTCCCGCCCGGAGCCTCCCGGATCAGCTCCCGCTCGGGCTGAGCGGAGCTCGGGGCTGATGGAGGCTTTGTGCACCTTGCCGGCAGGCAATTGCAGTACCGGGTGGTGGCCGGCGAGCACAACCTCAACGTCAACGACGGCACCGAGCAGGTCTTCAGCGTCAGCAAGATCGTCGTGCACCCCTACTGGAACAGCAACAACGTGGGCGCGGGGTAACGCCCGAGGCAGGGGCACTTGGGGGGAGCGCGGCGGGGCTTTGGGGAGGCTCCTCGTAACATGCCCTCCCTCCCCGCGGCAGCTACGACATCGCCCTGTTCCGCCTGAGCACCTCCGCCACCCTGAACAGCGCCGTGCAGCTGGCGGTGCTGCCCCAGCAGGGCATCGTCCTGCCCAACAACTACCCCTGCGTCATCACGGGCTGGGGCCTGACCCGCAGTGAGTAACGGGCTCCCCCCGCCCCAAATCCCCAGCCCGCCCACCGCCGGCAGCCGCGGCAGCGCTCCGAGCCCTCGACGGCGCTCGGGGCTCCGCCCGGGGCTCGGCTCGGGGCCCGCAGGTGCCCAGCGCCGGCCGGGGCCGCGCCGAGCCCGGGGGTCCGGCCGGGGCCGGAGGGGCTCGGCGGGGGCCGCGGGCTCTGCTCTGCCGGCGGCGAACGGCGGCTCCGGGGCGGCGCTGACCGGGCCGACCCCGCGCAGGCAACGGGCAGCTGTCCAGCGTCCTGCTCCAGGCCTCCCTGCCCGTCGTGGACTACCAGATCTGCTCCAGCGCGTCCTACTGGGGCTCCCTGGTCAAGAACACCATGGTGTGCGCCGGCGGCGACGGCGTGCGCTCCGGCTGCCAGGTCCGGCCGCGCTCCCCGCGCTGCCCCCGCCGCCCCCGCGCCCCCCCCGCCCCCGCTCACGCCGCCCCCCGCTCCCTCCGCAGGGCGATTCCGGCGGGCCCCTGCACTGCGCCGTCAACGGGCAGTACCAGGTGCACGGCGTCACCAGCTTCGTGTCCAGCCAGGGCTGCAACGTGGCCCGCAAACCCACCGTGTTCACCCGCGTCTCTGCCTACGTCTCCTGGATCAACAGCGTAAGGCGGCCGGGCCGGGCCGGGCCGGGCCGGGCCGGGCTCAGCCCCGGCTCTCTCGGGGCTCAGCCCCGGCCCCGCGCGGCTCAGCCCGGCCCGCTCTCCCTTCCAGGTGATCGCCCAGAACTGAGCCCAGCCGGACAAGCGCTCGCTGCCCCCGGCCCGTGGCCATCCCCTGACCTCCCCCCGCCGCGCTCCGGCCTTTTCGCACCCGAGCCGGCCTCAATAAAATCTCTCCTCCCGTCTCTGTGCCTCCGTGTGCCTTGCCCCGCGCCCGCCCATCCTTCCTCCTCCGGCCCGCCATCCTCATCCCCGCCCAGCCCTTCCCTGCCTCCTCCTCTTCCTCACCCCTCAGGGAAGGGCCCTGGCGAGCAGGAGCTGGCTCCGAGCTGTCGGGGCAGCCCCAGCGTCCCTGGGATGCTGGAAAAGGGGGAAATGCTGCACATCCCCTTCCTGGGCAGCGAGGCCATTGCCCCTTGGCCATGCGGGGCCACGCAGACGATTCGGGGCCATCCCATCGGCATTTCCCCGGCCGCTTTTGCTCCATTCCCCTTCCCAAAATGACCTCCTCGGTCATGAGAGGTGTCGGATCCGGGGACTGCCACCTCCTCGTCCCTCAGCCGCATCCTGGCGCTGTGCCACAGCCCCCCAGCCTGGGGACAAACCTCCAGCCCCAACGTGCCCCAAACGCCCACTTTACACCCAAAGCAGACACTGCTGGCTGGATCCGGCGCCCGCCGGGAGTTCCTCTCACTCCTCGGTCGCGTCCTGCTGAACAAAACACCCAAGAAGGACCAGATGGCTCTGCCAGCCCTGGCTGGCCGCGGGAGCTGTGGCTGTGCCTGGCACTGCTGAGCCCCCGCGGGCTGTGCCCACTTCTGTCCCTCCCAACCAGAAACACACCGAGGGGCTGGAGCAGGTTCAGAGAAGGGAACAGAGCTGGGCAAGGGGCTGGAGCAGCTGAGGGAGCTGAGGAGGTTCAGCCTGGAGAAAAGGAGGCTCCAGGGGGACCTTCTGGCTCCCCACAACTCCCTGAGAGAAGGGGACAGCTGGGGGGAGTCAGGTTCTGCTCCCAGGGAAACGGGACAGGAGGGGAGGGCAGAGTCTCAGGTTGTGCTGGGAGAGGCTCAGCTTGCACCGCCAAGGGGCAATTCCTCGCTGCCCAGGAAGGGGATGTGCAGCATTTCCCCCTTTTCCAGCATCCCAGGGACGCTGGGGCTGCCCCGACAGCTCGGAGCCAGCTCCTGCTCGCCAGGGCTCTTCCCTGAGGAGTGAGGAAGAGGAGGAGGCGGGGAAGGGCTGGGCGGGGATGAGGATGGCGGGCCGGAGGAGGAAGGATGGGCGGGCGCGGGGCAAGGCACACGGAGGCACAGAGACGGGAGGAGAGATTTTATTGAGGCCGGCTCGGGTGCGACAAGGCCGGAGCGCGGCGGGGGGAGGTCAGGGGATGGCCACGGGCCGGGGGCAGCGAGCGCTTGTCCGGCTGGGCTCAGTTCTGGGCGATCACCTGGAAGGGAGAGCGGGCCGGGCTGAGCCGAGCGGGGCCGGGGCTGAGCCCCGAGAGAGCCGGGGCTGAGCCCGGCCCGGCCCGGCCCGGCCCGGCCGCCTTACGCTGTTGATCCAGGAGACGTAGGCAGAGACGCGGGTGAACACGGTGGGTTTGCGGGCCACGTTGCAGCCCTGGCTGGACACGAAGCTGGTGACGCCGTGCACCTGGTACTGCCCGTTGACGGCGCAGTGCAGGGGCCCGCCGGAATCGCCCTGCGGAGGGAGCGAGGGGCGGCGTGAGCCGGGGCTGGGGGGGCGCGGGGGCGGCGGGGGCAGCGCGGGGAGCGCGGCCGGACCTGGCAGCCGGAGCGCACGCCGTCGCCGCCGGCGCACACCATGGTGTTCTTGACCAGGGAGCCCCAGTAGGACGCGCTGGAGCAGATCTGGTAGTCCACGACGGGCAGGGAGGCCTGGAGCAGGACGCTGGACAGCTGCCCGTTGCCTGCGCGGGGCCGCCGCCGGTCAGCGCCGCCCCGGAGCCGCCGTTCGCCGCCGGCAGAGCAGAGCCCGCGGCCCCGCCGAGCCCCTCCGGCCCCGCCGTACCCCCGGGCTCGGCGCGGCCCCGGCCGGCGCTGGGCACCTGCGGGCCCCGAGCCGAGCCCCGGGCGAAGCCCCGAGCGCCGTCGAGGGCTCGGAGCGCGGCCGCGGCTGCCGGCGGAGGCCGGGCTGGGGATTTGGGGCGGGGGGAGCCCGTTACTCACTGCGGGTCAGGCCCCAGCCCGTGATGACGCAGGGGTAGTTGTTGGGCAGGACGATGCCCTCCTGGGGCAGCACCGCCAGCTGCACGGCGCTGTTCAGGGTGGCGGAGGTGCTCAGGCGGAACAGGGCGATGTCGTAGCTGCCGCGGGGAGGGAGGGCATGTTACGAGGAGCCTCCCCAAAGCCCCGCCGCGCTCCCCCCAAGTGCCCCTGCCTCGGGCGTTACCCCGCGCCCACGTTGTTGCTGTTCCAGTAGGGGTGCACGACGATCTTGCTGACGCTGAAGACCTGCTCGGTGCCGTCGTTGACGTTGAGGTTGTGCTCGCCGGCCACCACCCGGTACTGCAATTGCCTGCCGGCAAGGTGCACAAAGCCTCCGTCAGCCCCGAGCTCCGCTCAGCCCGAGCGGGAGCTGAACCGGGAGGCTCCGGGCGGGAAGAGGACGCTCCCGAGGAGCCCCGAGGAGCCCAAAAGCCCCCCAAGGACGGCTGCTCTGGTGCTCGGGGCAGCCAGAATTTCTCCTCGGAAAGGATTTTGGGGGAAAGGAGCTTTGGCGAGAGGAAGGAGGGGTCCCCGGGGCGCTCACTTGTTGACGCAGTGGGCGGCGGTCATCACCCAGTTCCTCTGGATGAGGGAGCCCCCGCAGGTGTGGTGCCAGCTGCCGCTGGAGTAATACTGCAGGGAGATCTGGGGAGGGGGCGAGACACGGCGCGGGGCTCAGCGCGGGGTCCCGGCGCGGGGAGAGCGCCGGGCCCGGCCGCGGGACGCCGGCAGGACCCACCTGGTAGGGCCAGGCGTGCGAGCGCGCCTCGGTGCCACCGACCACCCGCTGCACGCCATCGACATCCAGCTCGGAGCAGCGCCCTGGGGACAGAGGCACGGCGTGAGCCCCCCGGGGGAGGGTCCGGGAACCTCGGGAGGTGCCGAGGCCGAAGGCTCCGGGCGGGACTCACCGCACAGGGCGAGCGCGGCGAGGAGCAGCAGCTGCAGCATCATCGTGGAGCGCGTCCGCCGTAGGCGCCGGGGCTGCCCCGCGGGCGCTTTAACGGGGCCGCGGGAGGAGGCGCGGGAAGGGAAGCAGGTGCCGCGGCCCCGAGCGGCCTTGGCCCCTGTGCCAAAGCACACACGGCACCCCGGGGCAGCCCGAGCGCCGCTGGATCCCGGCGGACGCTGCCCTGCGCTGGCACCTCCCGTCCCCGCGGCCGCAGCGCCGGGGCCGCTCTCAGCCCGGCGGGGCCTCGGCCGCCGCTCTCCGCGGCCTCGCTCTGTGCGATGGTTCCCAGCGCTTGATCCAACACCTGAATGGGGCCGCAGCGGCACCTGCACGGGGAAATCGAGGCACAAGCAGGGCACGACCTTCAGCCCCTCCCCAAGCCCCCAGCACAGTCCCCGCTGCAGCAGGGCCGGGGCTCGGCCTCCTGGAGCCTGAGCTTGGGGCAGAGCAAAGCAGCGATGTGGTTTGAAATAAACCCTGGAATTTTGGCCAAAACAGTGTCATTTTCCCCCCCTTGAACTCCAAACTGGGGTTGTTTTGGGGGGGGAACGTTGGCCCTCGAGGCACAGGCACTGCTGGCATTTGGGATCACCGGGTTCTTGGGGTCAGAAAAGTGAAGGCAATCAAAAGCACCTGCTGCAGTTCTGTCCTTATCGCCAAGGAAAACACGGGATTTCCCAGGAACTCCATTTCCAAATAATCCCATGTTTTTTCCATCAGCACCAAGGGCATGTGTCGAGGGACAGCAAGAATGGCTCTGCGCCACACAGGGACACCCCAATGCAAAGGTGATCCCCCAGCTGTGGCACAAACAGCTGTAAACTCATTTTTGGGCTAAAAACTTCGTATTACTGCATTACTGAGTTTCTTGGGATTGTCCTGTGCATGGACAAACACTGGGCACACATCTTGTGTCCTATCCTACTCTGGATGTTCCACAATTCCTTGTTCCCAATTGGTCTCTTCCAACTCGGGATATCCGCGATTCCTCGAGTCTGGACATCAGGGGGCACTTAGAGAACACTCTTGGATTTTGGGGGTCTTTGGGGTTGTCCTTTGCAGAACCAACAGGTGACCTTTGTGGGTCCCTTCCACTTCTGGTTATTTCACAATCCGAGAGGTCAGGGACCTTTTTGACCACAACCTGCCCATTGGGGTTTTGTCCTGCACATGGTCCTTGAGGGTCCCTCCCAGCGCTGGATCCCCCATGGCCCCCCAGCCCTGTGGCCTGGCCCTGTTCCAGGAGAGTTTTTGGGGGTTTGGGGGGTTCCGGGGTGCGCAGCGGATGCTGCCTGGCCTCGCCTCCAACTTCCTCCATCAAAACCCTCCAACGGCAGCCGCGGGGCCGAGGCGGGGCGGGCCGGGGCCATGGCCGAGGGCAGGAGCGGCAGCGCCGGGCTCTTCGCCAGGCAGGTCCAGAAGCACTTCAGCCGCGCCCAGGAGAAGGTACGGAGGTGCCACCCACCCTCAAATCCCAGCTTTCACTGGATTTGTCGTTCTTTCCCACCACAGTGCTCCCAGGGTGGCCCAAACAGCACAGCTCAGCACCTTTGGGTGCTCCCAGGGTGGGAATTTGGGCGTTTCTGGGTCGATGTCATCGTTGCTCCGTGGCTTTGGAGGATGACATCTCCCAGTGCTCCCCAAGACACTTTGGCTTTTCCATTGGTGGGGGGTTTTCCATCCAAAACACCTTGCGGAGGTTATGGGGGGCTGTGGGGTGGTGGCACAGCTCCCTGGGCTGGCAGGCACTGAGGGTGCCTGGCAGGACCCAGCATGGTGCCAGGAATTTCGGGGAGATCCGTGGGGCCCGCAGGAAACGAGGGGGAAGGGCTGCGGAAGCGGCACGAGCGGGGCAATTCTCAGCTGCTCTGGGGCATTTTGGGGGAACCTCTTTCCTTTCCTCCCCCAAAAAACGTAGTTGTGACTCCACTTTTGGGGGTGACACAAAAACCCCTTTCAAACCCTCACCCTCCCAGGCTTCCTGGTGCTAAATTTGGCTTTCCCACGACTCAGTCATCCGGGGCCAGGCTCTGGCTGCTTCCTGCACACAGCAAATCTCCCTCCCAGCCGCTCCTGGCCTCTTCCCAGGGGGCCCAACCTCTTCCTGGACATCCCAAATCTCCCTCTGACCCAGCCCCAACCTCTTCCTGGACACTCCAAAGCTCCCTGCTCCCAGCCCTGGCCTCTTCCTGTGGGGGTCAAGCTGTTTGGGGACACCCAAAAACTGCCTCTTGCCTGGCCCCAGCCTCTTCCTGGGGGGTTCAGCCTCTTCCTGGACACTCTGAATTTTCCCCCATCAGGTTTCAGTCATTTTCCAGAGGGTCACCCTCTTCCTGGGCACCCCAAAACTCTTCCCAGAGATCTCCATCTCTTCCTGGACACTCCAAATTTCCCCCACCCAGCGCAGCCTCTCAGCTCTCCTTCAGCCTCAGCCCCTACTCATCCTCCTCGTGGTATCCCCTGTGCCCCACAGTTGGAGCTCAGGGGGATTTGGGGTGCACAGGACTGCACCTGCAGGGTTTAGGGTGGGAGGTAAATTGGCACGCAAAAATTCACCATTTTCCTGAGAAAAAACGAAAGCACCGAGTGGGTGCAGTGAAATTTTGCATTTCCACAGAGATCCTGCCCTGCTGGACCCTCGGCAGCCCCTCAGGGGGGTTTTGGGGGGCCCGGGGTGACTTCGGGGTGTGGTGGGGGCTCTTCCCCTCTCTCTCCATCACAGGTTCTGCAAAAATTGGGCAAAACGGTGGAAACCAAAGACGAGCAGTTCGAGCAGAGCGCCTACAACTTCCAGCTGCAGCAGGTGACAGGGGGACAGCGGGGACACTGGGGACACCCCCAGGGGGACACCGGGGGTCCCTGTCCCCCCCCAGCCCCACGGACAGCCCTGATCCCCCTCGCCGCTGTGTTTTGCAGAACGAGGGCCACAAACTCTACAAGGACCTCAAGGGGTTCGTGGGAGCCGTGAGAGGTGCGGAACCGGCCCCGAATGTCCCACAAAAACCCGGGAACAGGGAGGGACTCCGGGCGGGGCCAGGATAATAAATAAGGAATAGCAGAGGAAATAAATAGTGATTGCAATAAATAGAGTGTTAGTTTAAAAATCGGTATTAAATCAAAAGAAAGAATAAAAAATGAGAATAAATATATTGTAAGCTACGAATGGAAAATAAAAATAAAAATAAAAATAAAAATAAAAATAAAAATAAAAATAAAAATAAAAATAAAAATAAAAATAAAAATAAAAATAAAAATAAAAATAAAAATAAAAATAAAAAATAAAAATAAAAATAAAAATAAAAACAAAAATAAAAACAAAAATAAAAATAAAAACAGAAATAAAAATAAAAATAATAATTATAATAATAATAATAATAATAATAATATAATAATAATAATCGTGGGATAGTATATAATATATTATATATGAGCTATGTATTATATATCTTACATATATGACATATGCAATATATATTTTTATATTGCACTATGTAATAAATACATATGGGATAATAAAGATATAAAAATAATGGATATTAAATATATATTAAAGATAAAAGAATAATATAAATACTGTATGTGGGATAATAGATAATAAATACATATAGGATATATATAATATATAATACATAATATATAATATATAATATATCATATATCATATATCATATATCATATATCATATATCATGTATAATATATAATATATCATATACCATATATCAAATATCATATAAAATATATAATATATAATATATTAAATAGAAAAACAGATAGATATGTTATCTATTGGATATACATGCTATATATGGGATAATAGGGACAATAAATAAGTTAAAATAACACACCTGGGCTAATAAACAACAACAGACAGCAGTGAATAAATTAATAACGATCAGGAATAAATTATCATGAAAATGACAATGACCATGACAATGGCAATGACAATGACAATGACAGTGACAATGACAATGACAATGACAATGACAATGACAATGACAATGACAATGACAATGACACTGACAGTGACAATGACAATGACAATGACAGTGACAATGACAATGACATTGACAGTGACAATTACAGTGACAATGACAATGACAATGACAATGACAATGACAATGGCAATGACAGTGACAATGACAATGGCAATGATATTGAAAGTGACAATGACAATGACAGTGAAAATGACAATGACAATGACAATGACAGTGACAGTGACAATGACAATGGCAGTGACAATGACCATGGCAATGACAGTGACAATGACAATGGCAATGATGATGGCAATGTCAGTGACAATGACAATGACAGTGACAATGACAATGTCAGTGACAATGACAATGACAATGACAGTGACAATGACAATGACAGTGACAATGGCAATGACAATGACAATGGCCATGACAATGACAATGACAGTGACAGTGACAGTGACAATGACAATGACAATGACAGTGACAGTGACAATGACAGTGACAGTGGTAATGACAATGACAGTGACAATGACAATGACCATGCCGGATCTCTGTGCCCCCAGTGATGCACGAGAGCTCCCGCAGAGTGGCCGAGACGCTGCAGGAGATTTACAGCGCTGAATGGGACGGGCACGAGGAGCTCCGCGCCATCGCAGACGTGAGCCCCGGCTGTCCCCAAGGGTCCCCTTGGAGGGGCTGGAGGGTCCCGGGTGCCACTTCTGTCCCTGTCCCTGTCCCTGTCCCCCCAGAGCAATGACCTCCTGTGGGATGACTACGAGGCGAAGTTGGCCGACCAAGCCCTGCGGCTCATGGAGAATTACCTGGCTCAGTTTGGGGATTTTAAGGTGGCCCTGGATGTTCTGGTGGGACGGGGGGCAGGGGGAGCACGGGGGGGTCCCGGCTCACCTGTCCCCCCACCCAGGAGCGCATCGCCAAGCGGGGCCGAAAGCTCGTGGACTACGACAGCGCCCGGCACCACCTGGAGGCTCTGCAGAGCGCCAAGAAAAAGGACGAGGCCAAAATCGCCAAGGTTGGGACTCCCCGGGACACCCCAGCACAGCCCCCATGTGGGGACAGTCCCCCGGTATGGGGACAAAGCCACGGCCCCCTGTCCCTCCCCGCAGGCCGAGGAGGAGTTCAATAAAGCCCAGGCGGTGTTTGAGGACCTGAACAGGGACCTGCGGGAGGAGCTGCCAGTCCTGTATGGCAGGTACGGGGCTGTCACAGGCCTGGGGACATCGCGGGGGCTCGGGGACATGCAGGGATTTGGGGACATCGTGGGGCTGGAGGTCGCCGTGGGGGTTGGCAGACTGGGGATGGCATCGGGCTGGGAGACACCACAAAGGCTTGGAGACATCAAGGATCAGGGGGGTGGGGGACATTGCAGTGCTGGGGGACATCGTGGGGCTGGGGGACATCGTGGGGCTGGGGGACACTGTGGGGCTGGGGGACATGGCAGGGACAGGGGACATTGTGGGGCTGGGGGACACTGTGGGGCTGGGGGACATGGCAGGGGCTGGAGGACACCGTGAGGCTGGGGGACATCGTGGGGCTGGGGGACACTGTGGGGCTGGGGGACACTGTGGGGCTGGGGGACACCGTGAGGCTGGGGGACATCGTGGGGCTGGGGGACATTGTGGGGCTGGGGGACACCGTGGGGCTGGGGGACATGGAAGGGGCTGGGGGACACCGTGAGGCTGGGGGACATCGTGGGGCTGGAGGACACTGTGGGGCTGGGGGACACTGTGGGGCTGGGGGACACCGTGGGGCTGGGGGACACTGTGGGGCTGGGGGACATTGTGGAGCTGGGGGACATGGCAGGGACAGGGGACATTGTGGGGCTGGGGGACACCGTGGGGCTGGGGGACATTGTGGGGCTGGGGGACATCGTGGGGCTGGGGGACATGGCAGGGGCTGGGGGACATGGCAGGGGTGGGGGGACACTATGGGGCTGGGGGACATTGTGGGGCTGGGGGACACCGTGGGGCTGGGGGACATCGTGGGGCACCCCCAGACCCCTCCCTGTCCCCCGCAGCCGCATCGCCTGTTACATCACCGTGTTTCAGAACATCTCCAACCTCCGAGACGTCTTCTACAAGGAGATGAGCAAGGTGGGGAAGGCACCCCAAAACACCTCCCCCACCCCCTGTAGCACCAGGTGTCCCCAGGTGTCCCCAGGTGTCCCCAGGTGTCCCCAGGTGTCCCCAGAAGCTGTTCTCCACCCTTCCAGCGTCCTCGCTCTTCCTTTCATTCATTCATTCAGAGCAGCCCGAGGTGTTCAGGCTGTCCCCAGGTGTTGGGGGCCCTGCTGAACCCCGGGTGGATGGGGGTACCTGGGGGACCCCTGAAGTGTTTGTGTCCCCCCTCCCCAGCTCAACCGGGACCTGTACGAGGTGATGAGCAAACTGGAGAAGCAACACTCGAGCAAGGTGTTCATCATCAAAGGCATCCCCAGGTAACGCCCGGGGGAGACGGGGCACAGCGGGGGTAGAGGGGCCAATTCGCCCCCCAGACCCCACAAGGGTGATGGGGGCTCCGGTCCCAAAGTCCTGGGGCGGGCGGGGTCTGCCACAGAGGGGCTGAAGGTGATTTTGGTGGGCCTGGAGAGGTATCAGGGTCCTGCTGGATGGGGAAGCGTCACCTGCAGGCTGGGACGGTGACACCTCGGGGGTGCTTGGGGACACCCCGAGCTGAACCCCTCTGTCCCCCGCTCGCAGCAACCGCCGCTCTCTGGTCATCTCCGCGCCCGTGAGCCCCCCGGCCGTGTTCCCCTGCCCGGACAAGGCGCCCGTGGAGGACGCGGAGGTGACACCGGAGTCCCCCGGTGGGGACAGCGCCGAGCCGGGGGCTGTTTCCCCCGGGCCGCCCCCGGCTTCACCCGCCAGCGGCGCCTCCCTGGACACGGAGTCGGTGTCCAGCGAGGACACCCCGGAGCCTGGGCACGACAACGAGCGCCCGGCGCAGGCGACATCAGCGACAGGGTCGGTGCACAGCGAGGAGCCCCCGGAGCCCATCTCCAGCCCCGACTCTCTGTGCCCGGCTCAGGAGCCACCGGGGGGTGCCAGCGGGGCGCGGGGGGGACCCGAGGGCATCGCCGCCTCCCTGGCATCGCTGATTTTATCCGAGGCCATTGCCCAGGCCGCTGGCACCTTGTCACCAGAGCGGGGGAAAGCCGCTGGCACCGGGGACAGCGCGGTGTCCCCCGCCGCAGTTGGCCCCTGCCGTGCCCTCGGCCCCGCGGTGGCACCGGCGTGTCCCCGGGAGCCGTGCCAGCTCGGCGGTGACACCGAGGACAGCGCGGAGGCGGCGGATGTGGAGCCAGAGGTGCGCAAAGCTCAGGTGGGGAAGTGCCGGGAGAGCCGGGTGGGAGCGAGGAGCGCGCACAGGGACACGGCTGAGGGACACCCGGGCGGTTTGTGGGGACACGGGGCCGGCCCGGGGGACAAAGCCAGCCCGTGGGACACCCACTGCCGCGTGGGGCCGGACCTGCCCCTCCCCGCGGCGCCAGGCCCCGGGAACCGCCTGTGCCCCCTGGACCCCCAACCCCGGCGGGTGGGGGGCTCGGTCCCTTTGGGGTGGGATTTAACGGGATCACGAGGTGCCAGTGTCCCCCCCATGTCTCTCCCAGGGCTGTTCCGGGACACCGGAGCAGGACACGAGCCAGGACCCCTCAGGTGCTGCAGACCCCTCCCAGGATCCCCCCGAGTGCCTCAGCACCCTGTGATCCCACGGGAAATTCGGCATCTTCCCCAAATTTATTCCCCGGAAAGTATTTCCCAGCCCCCATCCCGTCCGAAATAAAGATGGAAAAGGTGGCAAAATCCCAAATCTCCATCTGGGATTGCAGAGGGGTCCGGGGGGGTCCGCACCGGCGGATTTGGGGTGTCTGAGGAGTGTGAGAGTGGGAGGTTGGGGACTGTCACTGTCCCCCCCACTCCAAAACCCGTGACTCAGGGAAAAGACCTCGAGCCTGTTCCACCAGCTCCCGGAAAATGCGCTGTCATGCAAAAAAAAACCCCAAAACACCCCAAATTTCCGTGATCCAGAATTCAAAGCCCCCATTCCCAGTCTCCGGGACGATGGGTTTGTCCCGCAGGCAGCGAGGGGTTAACGGGGGAGGGATGCGGGGCGTTGATCCTCATTCCAGCCGAACTGGAAAGGTGAGATAGGAAAAGGGCAACGCCCTCACCTGGAGCCGCACATGGTGCCGGCAGGTAAGAGCTGCAGGAGTGGGACCCCCATCTCGGGGTGCCCCCCAAAATTCCCCATCCCTGGGGGACTTCAGGGGGTGACACAAAACCCCAAGCACAGGGAGCCCTGCAATGAGGGATGGGGCGTGCGGCTGTTTGGGGTGAAGTCGGGGTTCGGCCGGGCATTTTCCAGCTGGATTTGGGGCGGGAGGAGAGGAAAAGGCCGGATCCTGCCACAGGGAGACGCTGAAGGCAGGAAATCCGGCAGGAAAGCTGAGAGGGAAACAGGGGAGCAAAGTGCTGCTCCCAGGGGATCATCCCAAGGTGAAGATACAGCAAATCCCGCCCTTCGCCCGCTGGGGAGGGGAAGGAGGGGCTCTAAAGGGGCTGCGGAGCACCCCCAAAGAAGTCTGGAGGGATGGTTTGATGATCCCATCCTCCAGCGGCCGGGAATGGGAATGGAAGTGGGATAGGAATGGAGTAAAGGCACTGCCAAGCGCCCCTAATAAATCGCTGTAGGGTCGGTTTGATCCTTCCGTCCTCCGGGCACCAGGAATGGGGATGGGGATGGGGATGGGGATGGGGGGCTGCATCCCCGGTAATCCTGGAAGGAGTTTTTGGGATCAGAGCAGCCGAGCAGGGCAGGGTTTCCCTCGGGAACGGCTCTGGAGCGCAGGAATGAGGAAGATGAGGGTTTTTCACAACGCTGCTTTAAAAACACATGGAAATCCATCGGGATGGGAATGATTCATTCCCACTGCCAGCCCCCCTTTTCCGGCCTGGATCCCGGCCTGGCACGGCAGAAATCCCGAGGATTTTTGTGTGGGGAAGCACCGGAGCCTTCCCGCGGGGTTTGGGGGGGTTCCTTCCCACGGGAGCATCCCTGTCCCCGGAGCGAGCAGGAGGAGCCTGATGGAAATCAAACCTTCCCTCAGCTAAAACTCGGCTTAAACCTTTGCTGAGTCCCAAAGGCTCTGTGGGTGCCAGGATTTAAAGGAAAGCTGGGTTTATAGAACTGGACTAAAGTAAAATCAGGCTTAAAGCAAAGTTGTGCTGGAAATAAAATCGGGTTGAATGCAAAGTTGAGGTTAAAGCAGAGTGTGGTTTCAAGCAAAGCCGGGTTTAAAGCTAAAAAGGTTTAAAGCAAAACAAAGTTTAAAGTGAAACAGGCTTAAAACAAAGCAAGATTTAATGCAGGACTAGTTTTAAAGCAGAACTCGCCTTACAGCAAAACCAGGTTTAAAGCAAAGCTGCCTTTAAAGTACAGTTTGGTTTAAAGCAGAGCTGATTTTAAGTAAAACTGAGTTTAAAACTGAGTTTAACGAGCGGGTGGCTGCTGCCAGCCCGAGCCGGGCATTGCCTGCTCGGGGTCCCTGCGGGGAGGGGAACGTTCACTGCCCCAATTCCCGGGACCCCCAGCCCCAATTCCCTGAGTCCCCCAGCCCCAATTCCCGGGGTTCCCCAGCCCCAATTCCCTGAGTCCCCCAGCCCCAATTCCCGGGACCCCCCAGCCCCAATTCCCGGGTTCCCCCAGCCCCAATTCCCTGAGTCCCCCAGCCCCAATTCCCGGGGTTCCCCCAGCCCCAATTCCCTGAGTCCCCCAGCCCCAATTCCCTGAGTCCCCCAGCCCCAATTCCCGGGGTCCCCCAGCCCCAATTCCCTGAGTCCCCCAGCCCCAATTCCCTGAGTCCCCCAGCCCCAATTCCCTGAGTCCCCCAGCCCCAAATCCCGGCTCCCCCAGCCCCAATTCCTGGGGTTCCCCCAGCCCCAATTCCCGGGGTTCCCCCAGCCCCAATTCCCTGAGTCCCCCAGACCCATTCCCTGAGTCCCCCAGCCCCAATTCCCTGAGTCCCCCAGCCCCAATTCCCGGGGTTCCCCAGCCCCAATTCCCGGGGTTCCCCAGCCCCAATTCCCGGGGTTCCCCAGCCCCAATTCCCTGAGTCCCCCAGCCCCAATTCCCGGCCACCCCCAGCCCCAATTCCCGGGGTTCCCCCAGCCCCAATTCCCTGAGTCTCCCAGCCCCAATTCCCGGGGTTCCCCCAGCCCCATTCCCGGGATCCCCCAGCCCCATTCCCGCTCCGGCCCTGCCGTGGCCCCGCCCCGCTCCCGCCGCTCGATTTCCTCTTTTTTTAAAAAACCCCAAACAAATGGGATTCGATTCTCTCCCGGCCTCGCTGAGTCACGGAACATTTGGGGCATTTTCAAGGACTTTCAGGCACTTTGAAGCTCCCCAAATCTGGGAGTGAATCCAAACAGGGGGTGGTTCTCCCCCGGTCCCAGTAACACCAGTGCGTTACTGGTGCTGCACCGCGCCCCTCGCGCGGAGCTTTCCGGGGCGTTTTGGGGGAAATCACCACTTTTATCCTTAATTTCGGCAGCTCCGAAGGAACCGGAGCCCCAGCTGGAAGGAGCCGCTGGAAGGAGGGATCTCAGCCCCACCTGAGCACAGGTGATGGGGGGTTGAGTGGGAATTCAGCTCTTTTATCGCTATTTTTGGCAGCTCTGAAGGACCCCAAACCTTCCCCGAGGAGGAGCCGATGCGATGGAGCGAGATCAGCCCCACCTGAGCTCAGGTGAGCACCTGGAGAGCTTCTCCGGCCTCTTCCCACCTTCTCCACCCGGCTCAGCTCTCCCTCACCTCCCTCTCTCCCTGTCCCGAGGAAGACCTGACCACCCCGGACCTGAGGAAGGCTCCGACCCCCGCTGGCCGTGAGGACGCCGACACCGCCGTGATCGCAGGTGAGCCCTGAGCTTGTCCCACAGTGGTGACCACCCTCATCTTCCTCACCTTGCTGACTGTGCTTGCCCCGCTGTGGTCACCCTCATCTTCCTCACCCTGCTGAGCCTGTGCTTGTCCCACAGTGGTGATGATCACCCTCATCTTCCTCACCTTGCTGACCCCCGTGCTTGTCCCACAGTGATCACCCTCATCTTCCTCACCCTGCTGAGCCCTGAGCTTGTCCCGCAGTGGTGGTGACCACCCTCATCTTCCTCACCCTGCTGACTGTGCTTGTCCCACAGTGATCACCCTCATCTTCCTCACCCTGCTGAGCCCCGTGCTTGTCCCACAGTGATCACCCTCATCTTCCTCACCCTGCTGACACTGTGCTTGTCCTGCAGTGATCACCCTGGTCTTCCTCACCCTGCTGACCCTGAGTTTGTCCCGCAGTGGTGATGATCACCCTCATCTTCCTCACCCTGCTGACCCTGTTCTTGCCCCACAGTGATCACCCTCATCTTCCTCACCTTGCTGACTCTGCTTGTCCTGCAGTGATCACCCTCATCTTCCTCACCCTGCTGACTCTGTGCTTGCCCCGCAATGATCACCCTCATCTTCCTCACCCTGCTGACTGTTCTTGCCCCTCAGTGGTGATCACCGTGGTCTTCCTCACGCTGCTGTCGGTGCTGGTGGTGATCGGGATTTACCTGTACCGGAACCGGGGCTCGTACCGCACCTACGAACAGGCGGAGCCGCCCCCGCGGGAGGAGCCCCCGGCCAAGGAGAAGGAGGAATATTTTATTTAAGGACGCGCCTGGGATCCACACAGCTCCCGAAGTTCCCTGGACACAAGTTTTCAGGAATTAGGATGCTGTCGGAATTCCCTGGCATCACAATCTGCCCGAATTTCCCGGAGCTGAGGATCAATTTCTTGGAGGTGGGGGATCTTCCCAAGCTGGGAATCTGCCTAAAATCCCTGGAGCTCCACCTGAATTTCCTGCCTTTGGGGTGGAAACCTGCCTAAATTCCCTGGGGTGGAGGTTCTGCTTAAATCTCCTGAAGCTGGGATCTGCCTGAATCTCCTGGAGCTTGTGATCTGCCTCAATTCCCTGGAGCTGAGGATCTACAGCTGATTTGGTTTATTTTATTTCAGTTTTTCTCCTTAATTTATGAAGCCAACCATGGAAGGAATACGTGGGTGCCCGAGGGTAGGAAAAACCTCAAATACCCCCTAAAAATTAGTAAGAGGAAGTTCCCAATGCAGCAGGAAAAAGGAAAGGAGTGAGGAAAGCCCCGTCTGGCAGCAGCCAAAGGGGTTCTCAGAGGCCCAACAGAAATCTGTTACTTCATTTAAATTTTCAAAATAATCTTTATTTTTGGTTTTTAGTATAAAAACTCCACAGGTTCAGTGCAGCACAGAGAGTCCGAGAGCTGCGCTCGGGAACGGTCAGGGATGGTCACACACACACACAGAACACAGATTCAGATTAAAGTGAAATATTAAGATAAAATAGAGTCGAATCTGAGCTCTTTCTTCATCAATTAACAACCAAAAAGAAGAAGAACACCCGACTGAGGATCCCTGAAGGTTCCTGCCAAGCTCGCGGAGGTTTGGTTATCAATGAGTCACTGATAAACACATCGATAAACCCATTTACAACCCATTTACGAGCACCCCATTCATAAAAATCCACCTACAAACAAACATTAAACTCCTGATAAACCCACCAATGAACACCTCATTGATAAACCCATTGATAAACCCATCGATAACCCCCAAACCATCTCGATCCTCACAGGGAACCCAAGGGATTTGTGCGCTCACTGACACTTCCCACACCCGGCAGATGGAAACAGCCTCTCGGATTTAAGGAATTCGGGTGTGAAAACACCAGGTTTAAGTTAAAATCAAGCGTTTGCTAATTAAGCATCAATTAAACCCGGTTCTAGCTGGAATGGGAGGATCCCACGGGAGCTGCAGCGCGGCCCTGGCACCGGTCATGGCTTTAATTAGAGCTGAAGTGCAAATAATCCAAATTACCCCGAGTGGGTTAAAAACATCCCAGGACAGAGAATTCCGGGGGAGAGGGTGAGGGGGCACCGAGGGTGAGGCCAGGAGGGGCTCAGGAAGGAGATTTTTCCCTCTGGGAAGGGAATTTTCCCTCTGGGAAGGAGATTTTATCTGTTTTCTACCCAAAATCCACCTTTCCCAAAATAGGGGAAACCCGGATGGGTCCAGCAGAGGGTGGTAGAAGGGGAAACCCCTCCCCAGGGCGTAATTAGGCCGTTAATTAATTAGAGCTTCGTGCAAATGAGGAAGGGGCAGGGCTGAGCTCACCCCATTTGGGAATGACCCCCCAACCACCAAACCTGTCCCGTGTCACCGCCGGTGTCACTGCGGGGTTGGGGTCCCTCCCCGGGCCCGGGGGAGGCGCTGGGGGCACCGGGGGTGCCCCGAGCCCGGGGTGCCCCTCACCAGAGGCTGAAGGAGCCCCCCGGGAAGCCCCCCGGGCAGCCCCCCTTGCGCGGGGGCAGCAGCACGGCGGCTCCGGGCGGGACGGGCACCGGGGGGCACCCGGCGGGCGGCGGCTGCAAGAGACAAACGGGGGTCAGGGGCACGGCAGGGGACAGCCGGGGCACTGTCGCGATAGGGGACAGCCGAGGGCACTGTCGCGATAGGGGACAGCCGGGGCACTGTCGCGATAGGGGACAGCCGAGGGCACTGTCGCGATAGGGGCACTGTCGCGATAGGGACAGCCGGGGGCACTGTCGCGATAGGGGACAGCAGAGGTCAGTGTCACGATAGGGGACAGCCGAGGGCACTGTCGCGATAGGGGACAGCCGGGGGCACTGTCGCGATAGGGGACAGCCGGGGCACTGTCGCGATAGGGGACAGCCGAGGGCACTGTCGTGATAGGGGACAGCTGAGGGCACTGTCGCGATAGGGGACAGCCGAGGGCACTGTCGCGATAGGGGACAGCTGAGGGCACTGTCGCGATAGGGGACAGCAGAGGTCAGTGTCACGATAGGGGGACCCATCCCAAATCCACAGATCCCCTGTCCCAAACCTCCCCACCCACCCCAAATCCACAGATCCCCCTGTCCCAAACCTCCCACCCATCCCAAATCCACAGATCCCCCATCCCAAACCTCCCCACCCATCCCAAATCCACAGATCCCCCTGTCCCAAACCTCCCCACCCATCCCAAATCCACAGATCCCTGTCCCAGAGCTCCCCACCCATCCCAAATCCACAGATCCCCCTGTCCCAAACCTCCCCACCATCCCAAATCCACAGATCCCCCTGTCCCAGAGCTCCCCACCCATCCCAAATCCACAGATCCCCCTGTCCCAAACCTCCCCACCCATCCCAAATCCACAGATCCCCATCCCAAACCTCCCCACCCATCCCAAATCCACAGATCCCCCTGTCCCAGAGCTCCCCACCCATCCCAAATCCACAGATCCCCCTGTCCCAAACCTCCCCACCCATCCCAAATCCACAGATCCCTGTCCCAGAGCTCCCCACCCATCCCAAATCCACAGATCCCCCTGTCCCAAACCTCCCCACCCATCCCAAATCCACAGATCCCCCTGTCCCAGTGCTCCCCACCCATCCCAAATCCACAGATCCCCTGTCCCAAACCTCCCCACCATCCCAAATCTACAGATCCCCATCCCAAACCTCCCCACCCATCCCAAATCCACAGATCCCCCTGTCCCAAACCTCCCCACCCATCCCAAATCCACAGATCCCCCTGTCCCAGAGCTCCCCACCCATCCCAAATCCACAGATCCCCCTGTCCCAAACCTCCCCACCCATCCCAAATCCACAAATCCCCTGTCCCAGAGCTCCCCACCCATCCCAAATCCACAGATCCCCATCCCAAACCTCCCCACCCATCCCAAATCCACAGATCCCCCTGTCCCAAACCTCCCCACCCATCCCAAATCCACAGATCCCCATCCCAAACCTCCCCACCCATCCCAAATCCACAGATCCCCCTGTCCCAGCGCTCCCCACCCATCCCAAATCCACAGATCCCCCTGTCCCAGCGCTCCCCACCATCCCAAATCCACAGATCCCCCTGTCCCAAACCTCCCCACCCATCCCAAATCCACAGATCCCCCTGTCCCAAACCTCCCCACCCATCCCAAATCCACAGATCCCCCTGTCCCAGCGCTCCCCACCCATCCCAAATCCACAGATCCCCCTGTCCCAGCGCTCCCCACCCATCCCAAATCCACAGATCCCCATCCCAAACCTCCCCACCCATCCCACAGACACAGATCCCCCTGTCCCAGAGCTCCCCACCCATCCCAAACCCACAGATCCCACAGATCCCCCTGTCCCAAACCTCCCACTCATCCCAAATCCACAGATCCCCTGTCCCAAACCTCCCCACCCATCCCAAATCCACAGATCCCCCCATCCCAAACCTCCTCACCCATCCCAAATCCACAGATCCCCCGTCCCAGAGCCTCCCCACCCATCCCAAATCCACAGATCCCCATCTCAAATCTCCCCACCCATCCCAAATCCACAGATCCCCATCCCAAACCTCCCCACCCACCCCAAATCCACAGATCCCCCTGTCCCAAACCTCCCCACCCATCCCAAATCCACAGATCCCCTGTCCCAAACCTCCCCACCCATCCCAAATCCACAGATCCCCCTGTCCCAGAGCTCCCCACCTGTCCCAAACCTCCCCACCCATCCCAAATCCACAGATCCCCATCCCAAACCTCCCCACCCATCCCAAATCCACAGATCCCCCTGTCCCAGCGCTCCCCACCCATCCCACAGCACAGATCCCCCAGTCCCAAACCTCCCCACCCATCCCAAATCCACAGATCCCCCTGTCCCAAACCTCCCCACCCATCCCAAATCCACAGATCCCCCTGTCCCGGAGCTCCCCACCCATCCCAAATCCACAGATCCCACAGATCCCCCTGTCCCAAACCTCCCCACCCATCCCAAATCCACAGATCCCCCTGTCCCAGAGCTCCCCACCATCCCAAATCCACAGATCCTCATCCCAAACCTCTCCACACATCCCAAATCCACAGATCCCACAGATCCCCCTGTCCCAGAGCTCCCCACCCATCCCAAATCCACAGATCCCCCTGTCCCAAACCTCCCCACCCATCCCAAACCTCCCCACCCATCCCAAATCCACAGATCCCCCTGTCCCAGCGCTCCCCACACCCCACACACAGATCCCCCCACTCACCGGGACGCTGGCAGTGCCCCCCGTGCCCAGCCTGGCCGTGCTGTCCAAGCCCCCCTCCAGCAGCAGGGTGGATCCCGGTGGGTACAGCTGCCCCAGGGGCAAATAGGCCACGGGGGACCCCAGAGCCCCCACGGGCAGCGGTGGCACCAGGGGCAGGTACAGGGACCCCCCTGGGTACCCCGGGGACACGGGGGGGACACCAGCGGCGCCCAGGGGGACGAAGCTGAGGCGGTAGAGCTGCAAAAACACAAAATCAGGCGGGTCTGGCAGTGCCACCCCCCAGCACCCATGGGCACCTCACCTGCCCTGCCCCACCTACCTCGGGGTACGCAGCAGCGGGGTCAAGGTAGGGGGGCGGCTGTGGCAGGGGAAGGGTCTGGGGGTACCCAGGGGGGGCTGGGCCGGGGAATAAGGGTTGGCCTGGAAAGGGCCCTGGGGGAGAGAATGGGGTCAGGAGAGCCGGGGCCCCCCCGTGCCCCTCCCATGGTATCTCCCCCAACCCCCCCCGTGCCCCCCCATGGTATCTCCCCCCAAACCCCCCTATGTCCCCTCCTATGGTATCCCCCCCAAAATCCTCACACCCCCCCATGCCCCCTCCTATGGTATCCCCCCAAAAACTTCACACCCCCCTGTGCCCCCTCCCATGGTATCTCCCCCCAACCCCCCCCGTGCCCCTCCCATGGTATCCCCCCAAAATCTTCATCCACCCGTGCCCCCTCCCATGGTATCCCCCCCAAAATCCTCATCCCCCCGTGCCCCCTCCCATGGTATCCCCCCAAAAAACTCACACCCCCCCCGTGCCCCTCCCATGGTATCTCCCCCCAGTCCCCCCCGTGCCCCTCCCATGGTATCCCCCCAAAATCCTCAAACCCCCCCGTGCCCCTCCCATGGTATCCCCCCCAAACCTCACACCCCCCGTGCCTTCTCCTATGGTATCCCCCCAAAATCCTCATACACCTGTGCCCCCTCCAATGGTATCACCCCAAAATTCTCACACCCCCCATGTCCCCTCCCATGGTATCCCCCCCAAAATTCTCACACCCCCCCGTGCCCCCTCCTATGGTATCCCCCCAAAAACCTCATACCCCCCCATGTCCCCCCCTATGGTATCCCCCCAAAATCCTCACACCCCCCCCATGCCACCTCGCATGGTATCCCCCCAAAAACCTCACACCCCCCCATGCCCCTCCCATGGTATCTGCCCCCAACCCCCCCGTGCCCCTCCCATGGTATCCCCCCCCACACACCCCCCCGTGCCCCCATCATGGTATCTCCCCCCAACCCCCCCGTGCCCCCCCATGGTATCTCCACCCAACACCCCCTGCACCCCCTCTCATGGTATCCCCCCCAAACCTCACACCCCCCCGTGCCCCCCCATGGTATCCCCCCCAAACCCCCCTATGTCCCCTCCTATGGTATCCCCCCAAAATCCTCATACCCCCCTATGTCCCCTCCCATGGTATCCCCCCCAAAATCCTCATCCACCTATGCCCTCTCCTATGGTATCCCCCCAAAAACCTCATACCCCTCCGTGCCCCCTCCTATGGTATCCCCCCAAAATCCTCATCCACCCCCCGTGCCCCCCCATGGTATCTCCCCCCAGTCCCCCCCGTGTCCCTCCCATGGTATCTCCCCCCAGCCCCCCCGTACCCCTCCCATGGTATCTCCCCCAACCCCCCCCGTGCCCCTCCTATGGTATCCCCCCAAAAACCTCACACCCCCCATGCCCCTCCCATGGTATCTCCCCCCCCAGTCCCCCCCGTGCCCCTCCCATGGTATCTCCCCCCAACCCCCCCCGTGCCCCTCCCATGGTATCTGCCCCAACCCCCCCGTGCCCCTCCCATGGTATCTCCCCCAGCCCGCCCCAGCCCCGCCTCCCGGGTGAAAGCGAGGCTGAGCACGCGTCTCCATGGCAACCCTAGCCCCGCCCCCTACCCGCCCCCTGGCCCCGCCCCCCGCGCCCTTAAAGGCGCCGCGCGGCCGGGGCGGCGCTGCGGGCGGGGCGGGGCTCCGGTACCGGCACCGCGGGGCTCCGGTACCGGCACCGCGGGGCTCCGGTACCGGCACCGCAGGCCCCGCCCCGGCCTTGCCTTTGCCGTTCATGGCGGCGGCGGCAGCCGGAGAAGGAGGAGGAGGAGGAGGAGGCGGGGGCGGCCCGCGGGGGAGGGTGAGGGACGGGGCAGGAAGCGGGACAGGAAGCGAACGGCGTGACGTCATCGCGCCGGGGGCGGGGCCACGCGCTCTTAAAGGGGCCGCGGGAAAATGGGGGGGTGGGGGCGGGGTCGGGGGGGGCCCTAAAGAGGGTCTGGGGGCCCTAAACATATCTAAAAATAAATAATATATTTATATAGTACATATTTAATATATATTATATTGATATAGCGATCTAATATACATTGTATATATTATAATATATATAATATATAATATATATATATTATATAGGTTATTATAAATAATATTTATTATATAAATATATAATATATATTATATATTATATTATATTATAATATACATATTATTTATTATATATATTTATATATATAATATATATAATATAGTATGTATAATATATGTATAATATTTATTATATATATTATATATAATATATAATATAATATATAATATATAATATATAATATTTATTATATATATAATATATAAATATATTATATATTTATTATATATAATATATTATATATATTACATATATAATATATATTATATTATATATATAATATTTATAATATATAATATATATAATATTTATTATATATATTATATTTTTTGAATCACATATTTAATCTAAAGAACATAACATTAGAATTTAATATACGCTGCAGTTAAAATTAATATTTATTAAGCATTTCAAAAATACCCATAAAACCTTTAGAGGTATATAATACATACTAGAATAATATATCTATATAATCAATAATATTCAAAGTATTGATACAGTAGTGTAGTGTATGATACGTAGGAATAAATATTAATAAGGATTAATAAATAACACATTCTATTAATTAATATAATATATTAGTACAAAAATAATATAATTATACATTAATATATAAAGATATAGTATAACATGAATATATTGCAATATAAATTCCCATTTTCCGCTCCCCCTCCCCGCCTTTCCCACACTTTCCTTTTTTTCCCGCTTTTCGGCCCAAATCCCAGCGAGCCGCTCATGAATAATGCAGCAGCTGCCGCATGCATATGCAAATGAGTCTCCCGGCTGTGTGTGGGGGCGTGCTCATGAATAATTCATGAGGGGGAACGTTCCTCGCCTTCAGATCGCGCAGAAATGGGGCGGAAAAATGAATAAAAAATCTCATTTTCCTTCCCGGGGGGACCCGACCCGGGACCCCCCGGGACCCCCGGGACCCCCCCGGGACCCCCGGGACCCTCTTTAGGGACCCCCAGACCCGTTTAGAGACCCCAGACCCATTTAGGGACCCCCAGACCCGTTAAGGGACCCCCCCCCCCAGACCTAATTAAGGACTCCCAAACTCAGGACCCCAAACCCCGGATCCCCAATCCAGGACCCCCCAAACCCTAAATTTAGGGACCCCCAGACCCATTTAGAGACCCCCAGACCCATTTAGGGACCCCCAAACCCATTTAGGGACCCCCAAACCCGTTTAGGGACCCCCAGACCCGTTTAGGGACCCCCCCAGACCTAATTAAGGACTCCCAAACCCATTTAGGGACCCCCAGACCCGTTTAGGGACCCCCAGACCCATTTAGGGACCCCCCAGACCCGTTTAGGGACCCCAGACCCATTTAGGGACCCCCAAACTCGTTTAGGGACCCCCCCAGACCCATTTAAAGACCCCAGACCCGTTTAGAGACCCCCAGACCCATTTAGGGACCCCCAGATCAATTTAGGGACCCCCAGACACGTTTAGAGACCCCAGACCCATTTAGGGACCCCAAAACCCGTTTAGGGACCCCCAGACCCATTTAGGGACCCCCCCAGACCCATTTAGGGACCCCCAGACCCATTTAGAGACCCCAGACCCATTTAGGGACCCCCAGACCCATTTAGGGGTGCCCCTCCCTCCATCCCCCCGGCCCCCCCTCATCTGAGTCTTTGTTAATTAAAATCCGCCCCCCCACCCGAGCTGTTTTCCTTCCCCGTACGCAAACTATTCGCTATATGCAAATGTATGCAAATGAGACGGGGATTTAACTAGCTGTAGGTATTTAACAATTCGTATTAAATATTCATAATCACGGCAGCGCGTATGCAAATGAAGCCGGCAGAACTGGGCCGCGGCCGCCAATAACAGGTGCACCTGGGCTAATTAGAATATTAATGAATATTAATGAGTATTCATGAGGCGGGCTCGCTCTGGCTGTGGGGTCATTAATATTTGGGGCTGTCCCCCCTTTCCCCCATCTTTGTCCCCTTTGTCCCCTCTCCTTTTGGGGGGTCCCGGCATGCCGGGGGTGGGGGTTTGGGGTTTGGGGGGGTCTTGGATTGGGGATCCGGGATTTGGGGGGGTTCTGGCACTGGGGTTTGGGGTTTGGGGTTTTGGGGGTCCTGTCACTCCGGGGTCGGGGGTTTTGGGGTCCTGGATTTGGGGATCCGGGGTTTTGGGGTCCTGGATTGGGGATCCGGGGTTTTGGGGGGTCTGGCACTGGGGTTTGGGGTTTGGGGGTCCTGGATTGGGGATCCGGGGTTTGGGGTCCTGAGTTTGGGATCGGGAGTTTTGGGGTCCTGGATTGGGGATCCAGGGTTTTGGGGGTCCTGGCACTCCGGGGTCTGGGGTTTGGGGGGGTCCTGGATTGGGGATTCAGGGTTTTGGGGGTCCTGGATTGGGGATGCAGGGACTGGGGGGGCCCTCGCATTCCGGGGTCAGGGGTTTTGGGGTCCTGGATTGGGGATCCGGGGTTTTGGGGGCCCTGGATTGGGGATCCGGGGTTTTGGGGGGTCCTGGATTGGGGATCCGGGGTTTTGGGGTCCTGGATTGGGGATCCGGGGTTTTGGGGGGCGTCTGGCACTGGGGTCAGGGGTTTGGGGTTCGGGGTTTGGGGGTCCTGGATTGGGGATCCGGGGTTTTGGGGGTCCTGGCAGTGGGGTTTGGGGTTTGGGGGGTCCTGGATTGGGGATGCAGGGTTTGGGGTCCTGAGTTTGGGATCGGGAGTTTTGGGGTCCTGGATTGGGGATCCGGGGTTTGGGGGGTCCTGGATTGGGGTTTGGGGTTTGGGGGTCCTGGATTGGGGATCCGGGGTTTTGGGGGGTCCTGGCACTGGGGTTTGGGGTTTGGGGGGTCCTGGATTGGGGATCCGGGGTTTTGGGGGGTCCTGGCACTCCGGGGTCAGGGGTTTTGGGGGTCCTGGATTGGGGATCCGGGGTTTTGGGGGGTCCTGGCATTCCGGGGTCAGGGTTTTGGGGGGTCCTGGATTGGGGATGCCGGGGTTTGGGGTCCTGAGTTTGGGATTGGGAATTTTGGGGTCCTGGATTGGGGATCCGGGGTTTTGGGGGGTCCTGGATTGGGGATGCAGGGTTTTGGGGTCCTGGATTTGGGATTCGGGGTTTTGGGGGTCCTGGCACTTCAGCTCTGGGGTTTGGGGGATTTCTGGCCTGGGAACTTCTGATTGCGGGGTCTCGGGGCTGGAGGTGGTTCAGGTTCTGGTGCCGGGGAGGGTCTCTGGTTTTGGGGTCCCAGGGCTAAGGAGGCCTCTGCAGCTCGGGGGTCTCTGGTTTCGGGGGGTTTCTGGTTCTGGGGGTGTCCCTTAGACTCCAGGGGGGTCTGGGGTGTCCCTCTGTTGTGGGGGGGGGTCTCTGGCTTGGGGGTTTCCAGGGGTGTCCCGGGGTCCCTGTCCCAGGGGTCTCAGGGGTCTCTGTCCAAGGGGTCCCGGAATCTATCCCGGGACTCTCTCCCGGGGTTCCTCTCCGGGGTCCCGGGGGTCCCGGGGTTCCTCTCCCGGGGGTCTCTCCCTGGGTCTCTCTCCCGGGGTCCCGGTCTCTCTCTCCCGGGGTCCCGGTCCCTCTCCCGGGGGTCCCGGTCCCTCTCCGGGGGTCCCGGTCCTTCTCCCGGGGTCCCGATCTCCCTCTCCCGGGGGTCCCGATCTCTCTGTCCCGGGGGTCCCGGTCCCTCTCCCGGGGGTCCCGGGGGTCCCGGTCCCTCTCCCGGGGGTCCCGATCTCTCTCTCCCAGGGGTCCCGATCTCTCTCCCGGGGGTCCCGGTCCCTCTCCCGGGGTCCCGATCTCTATCTCTCGAGGTCCCGGTCTCTCTTCCGGGGGTCCGGGTCTCTCTCCCGGGGGTCCCGATCTCTCTGTCCCGGGGTCCCGGTCCCTCTCCCGAGGTCCCGGGGGTCCCGATCTCTCTCCCGGGGGTCCCGATCTCTCCCGGGGGTCCCGGTCCCTCTCTCCCGGGGGTCCCGATCTCTCTCTCCCAGGGGTCCCGATCTCTCCCGGGGTCCCGGTCCCTCTCCCGGGGGTCCCGGTCTCTCTGTCCCGGGGGTCCCGGGGTCCCGATCTCTCCCGGGGGTCCCGGTCCCCGTCCCGGTGTCCCGGGCTGTGCGGCGGCGCTCGCAGCGCCCCCAGCGGCCGTGCCGTGCCGTACCGTGCCGTGCCGTGCCGTACCGTGCCGGGCCGGGCCCTGCGGCAGCGGCCTGCGCATAAATTATGTTCATGACGCAGCAGCCCCGAAATCCCGACCGGAGCCCCAAATCCCCGCGCGGGACCCCCGTAGCCGCACCGAGCCCCCCGTAGCCGCCCCCCGTAGCCGCTCCGCCGCCGCCCGGGCCGCGCTACCGGGGCCGCTCCGCCGCCGCCGCCGCCCCTTTGTGCCGCCGCCGCCGATCGCGGGAGCGGCGAGAGCGGCGGGGACCCCCCGGACCCCCCCCGGGGCTCCCCCGCACCCCCGACCCCCGGCCCGGTGAGTGCGGGGCCGGGGCGGGCGGGGGGCGGCGGGCCCGGCGCGGTGAATATGCAATGGCGTAATTAGCATAATTTATATATTTATGATAAAGAGCGGTGGGGGGGGGCGGGGAGCGGAGAAAACGGCGGAAAACGGGGGACAGCGGGGGGGGCAGCGGGATTTGGGGGGCAAAGGGGGGTCGGGGGAGGTTTGGGGGGCAGGGAGGGAACTGGGGAGAACTGGGAGGAACTGGGGAGGGGGGGGCGGAGGGGACTCGGGGGGTTCGGGGGGTTCGGGGGGGACCCCGACTTAGGGGACATCCCTGGGGGGACCCCAGAGTTGGGGGGCAGGGAAGAGGGGCTGGAGACCCCCGGGTCGGGGAAAGGGGGGATGTCCGGGGTGCAGCGGGGACAGAGGATTTGGGGGGGCGGTGGGGACAGTTTTGGGGTCCTGCCCGCGGAGGGGGGGGTGGCTGTGGGGCTCGGGGGGCGCTGGGTCTGGGGGGGAACTGGGAGAACTGGGGGGACACGAAGGCTCTGGGTTAGGGGGTCCCTGGGGGCACCCCGGAACTGGGGGGGGGGTCCGTGAAGCGGGGAATTGGGGAGATGGGGGGCACGGAACCGGGGTGACCGCCCTGAGGGGGGCATGAGGAATTTGGGGGGCGGGGGATGGGTTTTGGGGTGTAGGAGAGCAGAAGCAGTGCTGAGGGGGGCAGGACATTGTTGGGGTCCTGCTGGGACCCCCGGGGGGAGTCCAAGGGGGGAAGGGGGATTTTGGGGGCACCTGTGGGGCACAGTGGATGGAGGGGGGCGCTGGGTTTGTGGGGGAAACTGGGGGGACACCGCGTGTTGGGGGCTGGGGGGTGCCAGGGTGACCTCGGCTAAGGGGGGTCCCCTCAGTTTTGGGGTGCAGGAAGGGAAGGAGCGGCTGGGGAGCCCCGGGGCAGGAAAAGGGGGATCGGGGGGGGCAGGAGGAAATGGGGGTGCGGGCGGGGGGCTCAGGGGGCAGGAAAGGAGACCCCGGGAGGGGGTTTGGGACAGTTTTGGGGTCCTGCCCGGGGAGGGGCCGCCGGGATTTTGGGGGCAACGGCAGTTTTGGGGAGGGCAGGGGGTGAGAGAGGTTTGGGGGGGTCTGGGGGGGAATTGGGGGGACAGAGGGGGTAGTGAGGATTTAGGGGGGCCTCTGGGTAAGTTGGGGGGATCAGGGAAATGGGAGGGGGGGGCTGGAGAGCCCCGGGGCAGGGAAGAAGTTGGGGGATGAGTTTTGGGGTGCAGGAGGGGAGAAACGGGGCAGAGGGGGGCAGGACGTTATTGGGGTCCTGTCGGGACCCCCGGAGGGGAGGCAGTGGGATTTGGGGGCACAGGCAGGGCAGGGGAATTTCAGGGGGGTACCGAGGTTTGAGGGGCAAAGGGGAGGGGGGTCCAAGGACATTTTGGGGTGCTGCAGAACAGCGGGGGGGCTGTGGGGGTTTAGGGGGACTGAGCACCCCATAGAGGGGGACATTGCCCCCACAGCCACCCTGAGCCCCTCCTGCGGCGGTTTTGGGGTGAGGGGACATTCCCTGGGAGCTGCACAGGGATGGGGGCCACAGGGGGGCCTCACTTTTGGGGGGAAGGAAGGGGGTGGGGCAGTGTCCCCCCAAACCTGTCCTCTGCCCCTCCAGCCATGACCCCACCCCATCCCATTGATCCCATTGATCCTGTTGATGTTATTGATCCCATCCCATTGATGCCATCCTGTTCATCCTGTTGACCCTATTGATTCCATCCCATTGATCCCATCCCATTAATCCCATCCCATTGATCCAATCCCATTGATCCTGTTGATATTATTGATCCCATCCCATTGATGCCGTCCTGTTGATCCTGTTGACCCTATTGATTCCATCCCATTGATCCAAACCCATTGATCCAGTCCCATTGATCCCATAGATCCTGTTGATGTTATTGATCCAATCCCATTGATCCTATCCCATCCCATTGATCCTATTGATCCCATTGATCCTGTTGATGTTATTGATCCAATCCCATTGATCCTGTCCCATCCCATTGATCCCATTGATCCCATTGATCCTGTTGATCCTATTGATTCCATCCCATCCCATTGATCCCATCCCATCCCACTGATCCCATTGATCCCATCAATCATGTTGATACTATTGATCCCATCAATCCTGTTGATACTATTGATCCCATCCCACTGATCACACTGATCCCATCCCATTGATCCTGTTGATGTTATTGATCCAATCCCATTGACCCCACCCCATCCCATTGATCCCATTGATCCTGTTGGTATTATTGATCCCATCCCATTGATGCCATCCTGTTGATCCTGTTGACCCTATTGATTCCATCCCATTGATCCCATCCCATTGATCCCATCCTATTGATCCAATCCCATTGATCCCATCGATCCTGTTGATGTTATTGATCCAATCCCATTGATCCTGTCCCATCCCATTGATCCCATTGATCCCATTGATCCTGTTGATGTTATTGATCCAATCCCATTGATCCTGTTGATGTTATTGATCCAATCCAATTGATCCCATTGATCCCATCGATCCTGTTGATGTTATTGATCCAATCCCATTGATCCTATCCCATCCCATTGATCCCATCGATCCCATTGATCCTGTTGATGTTGTTGATCCAATCCCATTGATCCTATCCCATCCCATTGATCCCATTGATCCTGTTGATGTTATTGATCCAATCCCATTGATCCTATCCCATCCCATTGATCCCATTGATCCCATTGATCCTGTTGATGTTATTGATCCAATCCCATTGATCCTATCCCATCCCATTGATCCCATTGATCCCATCCCATCCCACCCCATGGGATGCAGGTCTTGGGGGGTCTCGTGCCCCCAAGCCCCCCATTGTTTTGTATTGTTATCATCATCCATCTTCATCATCATCATTAATATTACTATTATTACTATAATTATTATTATTATTCCCTGGGTTTTGGGGGGTGGTCACACACCTGGCTCAACAATTTTCCTTAATTATATCATCTCCCACCCCCCAAACTCCCCTTTTTTTTTTTTCTGGGCTGCCCCTTTTGCCCGGGTTTGGAAGATTTTGGGGCAGTAAATGAGTTTTCCCAGATTTTCCTTTGGGATTTGGCTGCCCCAAACCCCATGTGGGGTTTTCCAGATGCGACCCTTGTTGGAGCTGGATGGATTTGGGGTATTTTGGGGGTGACATCTCATCCCCAGCCTCAGCTTCTCCATCTGTGAATGCCATGAAACATTAAAAGATGTCAAATTGAGAGGGAAGGAAGGATTTGGGGGGAATTATTCCCTCCAGGATAACGGCAGTGAGGAGTTTGTGTTAAACCCATTCTTGGGGTTTCTCACCTGGGCAAACTCATTTTCCACCCATTTTGGATCCATCTCTGCCTCATCAACACTTAATTAACATGGAAATTAAATCCGCATGGAGACTGGCAGCATCCTAAACATCCTTCTCTCACCTTTTTTCCCCACTTTCTTTATTTTTTAATATTTTTATCATTATTTTATGCATTTTATGCCTTCCCTCCATCTGTTGCTCCGTGGCTGCTCCTCCCTGCCTGCCCTCACCACTGCATAAATTATTTATTGCATTAAATGCCAAAAAATACCCCAAAAAGTGTGAAAAACGGGATCTGTGATAGGGAAAGGATCCGGAGCTGGATGCCCACCTGCATCCAGCCTGGGATCACAAATTTCTGATTAATTAGCTCATTAATTAGCTGCTCCCCACCCCCTTCCCTCCGGGGTTATTTGTGTCTCCTCCCAGCAGCAGCAGGGAATGGGGCGGCTCTGGGGTCCCCAAAACCCCACAAATCCACGGCCTTTCCCCTTTCTCCTGAGTCACCTTTTCCCAAAACTCCTCCATCTTTGGGGGGCAGGGGGGATCCTGGGGCTCTCAGGTTTTTGGGGAGCGTGGGAGCAGCTCCAATGTTTTGTGTCCCTCCAGGCCAAATCCAGGCACCCCAAAACTTGGAGGAGCCCCAAAACCAGGAGCGACAGAACTCCGGAGAGCTGGAGCACAGAGACCCCAAAACCAGAGAACCAGAGTCCAGAGTCCCCAAAACTCAAAGAACTGGAGTCCAGAGACCCCAAAACCAGGGAACCAGAGCACAGAGACCCCAAAACCCAGAGAACCGGAGTCCAGAGACCCCAAAACCAGAGAACCGGAGTCCAGAGACCCCAAAACCCAGAGAACCAGAGTCCAGAGACCCCAAAACCAGAGAACCGGAGTCCAGAGACCCCAAAACCCAGAGAACCAGCGTCCAGAGACCCCAAAACTCAGAGAACCAGAGCCCAGACACCCCAAAACCTGCGGAGCCAGAGCCCAGACACCCCAAAACCTGCGGAGCCAGAGCCCAGACACCCCAAAACCTGCAGAGCTATAACCCAGAGACACCAAAACCCAGAGAACCAGAGCCCAGGGACCCTAAAACCCGGAGAACCAGAGCCCAGAATTCCTGAGAGCCGCAGCCAGGACAGCAGACCCGGAACCCCAAAACCCGGAGAGATCCCACAACCCCGGGACCCCCCAGTCCATCTGGGGGGGCAGGACCCACATCCAGCCCCGAGTGCAGCCAGGAGGGTCCCTCACCCCAGAACGAGCAGTGGGTGAGTACCTGGGACCCCCAAAATCCAGGGAAGGCCCTGTCTGGCAGTTTTGGGGCAGGGGAAGGGATGGTCCCACCTGGCTGAGGAAGGAGCAGAAGCTTTCCCACCTTTTCCAGCCTCGGGTGGAGGAAGGAGCTCCCACAGGATTTTGGGGTGTCACTTGGGTTCCCCGGATCCCTGGCAGCTCCTGGGGCAGGTGAACCCACCCGGGGGATGGATCCTGAGCCCTCAGGAAGCACCAGGGGCTTGGCAGGGCAGCCAGGTGTCACCTGGAGATTTGGGGACCCTCCAGAGAGGTGCCCTCACCTGCCCATCCCTGGTTTTGGGGTTTCAGAGGGGCTGAGGGGGGTGAGAGGACCCCAGCCCTGCTGGTGACAGCCCCTCCTTGTCCCCTCTGGCAGCATGTGGCAGGTGTGACACCCCACCTGTGCCAGGCCACCATGGAGCCGTGCCCGGGGCAGCCCCAGGAGGCCCTGCTGACGGTCAACGAGCAGGTACGGGACCCCCAAACCGGGCTGGGACCCCCAAAACCGGGCTGGGACCCCGAAACCGGGCTGGGATGGGACCCCGAAACCGGGCTGGGGCGGGACCCCAAAACTGGGCCGGGATGGGATCCCAAAACCGGGCTGGGATGGGACCTCAAAACCAGGCTGGGAGTGGGTCCCTCATCCCAAAACTGGGCTGTGGGTTGGGACCCCAAAAGCCAGCTGGGAGTGGGACCCCAAAACCAGGCTGGGAGTGGGACCTCCACCCTAAAATCAGGCTGGGGGTGGGACCCCCAGCCCGAAACTGGGCTGGGGGTGGGATCCCAAAACACAGCTGGGAGTGGGTCCCTCATCCCAAAACCAGGCTGGGAGTGGAACCCCAAAACTGGGCCAGGGATGGGATCCCAAAACCAGGCTGGGAGTGGGACCCCAAAACACAGCTGGGATGGGATCCCAAAACTGGGCTGGGATGAGATCCCAAAACCAGGCTGGGAGTGGGACCTCCACCCTAAAATCAGGCTGGGGGTAGGACCCCCAGCCCGAAACTGGACTGGGGTGGGACCCCAAAACACAGCTGGGAGTGGGACCCCCAAACCGGGCTGGGAGTGGGATCCCAAAACTGGGCCAGGGATGGGATCCCAAAACCAGGCTAGGAGTGGGACCACAAAACACAGCTGGGAGTGGGACCCCCAAACCGGGCTGGGGTGGGACCCCAAAACCGGGCTGGGAGTGGGTCCCTCATCCTAAAATCAGGCTGGGGGTGGGACCCCCAGCCCGAAACTGGACTGGGGTGGGACCCCAAAACACAGCTGGGAGTGGGACCCCCAAACCGGGCTGGGGTGGGACCCCCACCCCAAAACCAGGCTGGGAGTGGGACCTCAAAACCAGGCCGGGGGTGGGATCCCAAAACCGGGCCGGGGTGGGACCCCGAAACTGGGCTGGGAGTGGGATCCCAAAACTGGGCCAGGGATGGAATCCCAAAACCAGCCTGGGAGTGGGATCCCAAAACCGGGCTGGGATGGGACCCCAAAACCAGGCTGGGAGTGGGATCCCAAAACTGTGTTGGGAGTGGGTCCCTCATCCTAAAACCAGGCTGGGAGTGGGACCCTGAAACCGGGCTGGGAGTGGGACCCCAAAACCGTGTTGGGAGTGGGTTCCTCATCCTAAAACCAGGCTGGGAGTGGGGTCCCAAAACCGCGCTGGGAGTGGGACCCCAAAACCAGACTGGGAGTGGGTCCCTCATCCCAAAACTGGGCTGTGGGTTGGGACCCCAAAAGCCAGCTGGGAGTGGGACCCCAAAACCGGGCTAGGAGTGGGACCTCCACCCTAAAATCAGGCTGGGGCTGGGCCCCCAGCCTGAAACTGAGCTGGGGTGGGGACCCCAAAACACAGCTGGGAGTGGGACCCCAAAACCGGGCTGGGGTGGGACCCCAAAACCGGGCTGGGAGTGGGATCCCAAAACTGGGCCAGGGATGGGATCCCAAAACCAGGCTGGGAGTGGGATCCCGAAACTGGGCCAGGGATGGGATCCCAAAACCAGCCTGGGAGTGGGATCCCAAAACTGGGCTGGGAGTGGGACCCCAAAACTGGGCCAGGGATGGGATCCCAAAACCGTGTTGGGAGTGGGTCCCTCATCCTAAAACCAGGCTGGGAGTGGGACCCCAAAATACAGCTGGGAGTGGGATCCCAAAACCGTCCTGGGAGTGGGTCCCTCATCCCAAAACTGGGCTGTGGGTTGGGACCCCAAAACACAGCTGGGAGTGGGACCCTGAAACCAGGCTGGGGTGGGACCCCCAAACCGGGCTGGGGTGGGACCTCCACCCCAAAACCAGGCTGGGAATGGGACCTCAAAACCAGAGTGGGACCCCAAAACCGAGCTGGGAGTGGGAGCCCCACCCCAAAACCAGGCCGGGGGTTGGGACCCCAAAACTGGGCCCGGGGGTGAGACCCCCCTGTGTGCCGTGGGATGGGCTGGAACACCTGCAGGAGGTTTGGGGGGCTCACCTGGCCCTGCAGCAGAGCTGTGGGGTGGAGGGGGTGCTGTGGATGTGGGGGTGCTGCAGGTTTTGGGGTACCAGGCTCAAGTGGAACAGCCAGGTTTAATTAATCATTAATTAATCCTCCCTTGGGGTGAGTTTTGCCCCTCTGCTGTAATACTGGGGTCACCCCCAGTTTTCAGCGGAGGGCCCAGAAATGAGTCTGGGGGCTCTGCTGGTTCCTGGCCCTGCTGGGACCCCAGACTCCCTCTGAGGGAACATCCCTCGGGACTGGGAACATCCCTCGGGACTGGGAATGTCCTGTGGGAGTGGGAACGCCCCTCCTTGAACCCCTTTACTCTTCCACCACCCTGAAGAGGGTCCCACGGAGAGCCAGATGGAGTTGTGACACTCCAACCAGTATGGCTGGATGTCATCCTCCTTTATTGCTTCATTTATCCATGCTTTATACCTTTATTGCCTTACATAATGCAGTAGCTAATTAATATTCATTGGCTAATGAATCTAATTGCATATACAAGTCACTTATAGATTGGCTGTTTTTGTACAAAGCTCATTGTCTTCTCAAGGATGTCCTAAATACTTTAAAGTAACTCTGTGATCTGCAGGCCGGGGTTGTGGAGTCCTGCAAAGAAAAGCCATCAAGGATAGGATGTCCTTGTTCCATGAGAAATTCCTCTGCACGCCCCATTTCCCCCTTACGGCCCCATTTACCCCTCAGGATATCATTTACCCTTTCAGAACCCCCTTTGCTCTTTTAGGGGCACATTTATGCTTCAGGAGCCCATTTACCCTTCCAGGACCCTTTTTATTCCCTGAGGATTCTCTTTCTCTTCCAGGACCCCGTTTACCCCTTCAGGGCCGCACCCGGGAATGGGAATGGCCCAACACCTCTGGGGTGGGTCTGGAGGGGTTTGCAGTTGTGAGAGGCAGGACCTGCCTGATAAAACCCCAAATCCCAGGGATTAGAACCCAAATCAATCCCCAGGGGTCAGAACCCCAATGCCTGGGGATCAGAACCCAAATCCCCGGGGGTCAGAACCCAAATCCCTGGGGATCAGAACCCCAATCCCTGGGGATCAGAACCCCAATCCCTGGGGGTCAGAACCCAAATCCCTGGGGATCAGAACCCCAATCCATCCCTGGGGATCAGAACCCCAATTCCTAGGGGTCAGAACCCAAATCAATCCCCAGGATCAGAACCCCAAATCCCTGGGGATCAGAACCCCAATCCTTGGGGATCAGAACCCAAATCAATCCCCACAGATCAGAACCCCAATTCCCGGGGATCAGAACCCCAATCCCTGGGGATCAGAACCCCAGTTCCCAGGGGTCAGAACCCCAATCCATCCCCAGGGTCAGAACCCAAATCCATCCCTGTGGGTCAGAACCCCAATCCATCCCTGGGGGTCAGAACCCCAATTCCCAGGGATCAGAACCAATTACATCGACTTTGCATATTCATATACCTCATGCATATGCATAAATAATTTACATATTAGGCATATTTTCCATGGGGGCCGCCTCTTTAGGGCATGCCTGTTCCTGGCTGTGGGTTTGGCTCCCTCTCTTTATCCCCTCTGGATTTTGGGCCCTGACCCGGGCTGTGTTAATGGGTGGGTGCTGGTGGGTGCAGATCTGTGCAGGTGTGCTCATCCTTCAGCTTTGCACATACTTCTTGTATTGATACGATTTTTAAATTAGCATTAAAGTTTTTCACCAAAATCACTAATAGGACACCTGCAGGTTTTGGCCCAGTAATTTTAGTAGTTTGGAGTTCAGACAGGCCTGTAAGATGTCCTCTAGAGTTCAAGAGCCTCAGAAAATTGGAAGATGAAGGAAACCACAGCCTAAATATTTCTTGGTACTGTTCATCAGTGGCTTTAGGTTTTATCAAATGGGACAAGAACCTTTCTAGGTGTTTAATTCTCATTTGGAGGTACCCCAAACCTTTCTGGGCTGCTGCTCCGGGTGATGCTGCCTGAGCAGGGGTTGGACTATGAGACCTCCAGAGGTGTTGGAGTCCCAACCTGGTTCAGGGGCTCCATGTGGTGGAAAAATCTCTCCTCCAAGCTGAGCTTCCAAAGAAAGGCTCAACAGTCTTTTGTTCGGTCTCAAGACAGTTTATTGCAAGTTATCTAAAAGATTTTCTCCTTGGGCTGCTGTGGTTTGCTCACAGCTCAGGCAGAGGCACACACACCCCCTGACATCCTCTCTTCTCCTGCTGCTTCATCCCCATTTTCAGTCTCTTTATTGCCTTTTTTCCCAGCTAGGGAGAGTTCCAGTACAGTTGGGGACTGTCCGTGTCTCTTTTTTATCTCTGGGTTCTGCAGAACGTCCTTGTGCTCTGTAAATCCTGAATTCCTCACGTCCAACTCCAGCAAAAACCTCTCCCTCTGTCTGTCTTTGTTTATTGAGAAGTGTCGAGGTTGGTTCAGCACAACTCCCAGTCCCAACTGGGCTCCCAAAATAGCAACAAACCTTGCTAAGTGCTGGCCACACTGCTGGTAATTCATTAAAATAATTAGCAAATTTCATTAAAACAATTAATTAGGACAGTTATTAGGAAAGTTGTATCGTTTCCAAGGCAGAGGCACAGAGTTTGTGAGGGGTTCAGTGTGAGAAACAGACACTTGCTTTTTGTAAGTTTAGAAAGGTTTATTAAATCTTATTAAAAATATGAAAGCAGACTGAATAGAGAAAATGTTCTTGTGCTGGTAGCAAAGGATTTTCCCCACCGTGTGCTCACCACACCATGGAGGTTTTGCTTTTTAACCCTTTAACTCCACCTAAAGTTCTGTCCATCTACTCCTCCCAAAAGTCTGTCGATCACTTCCTAAAATCTGGATTGGAGGTCAGGTGCTGCCAACCCTCCCAAAATGTCCCAAAGCCTGGTTGTCCCCTGAGAACAACTCAGGGAGTAAAAAAAAACCCTTTTCTTAACATATATACATGACATTTGTCTGTTAATGGTGAAATTCCATCACTGCATTCCTCATCTGTCACACTCAGGGCGGGTTGGGTGTGTCAGGAAAATGAACCCACAAATACCAGAGTTTTATATCCAAAAAGGAGCCAGAGGAGTCCCTTTACTTTATTTGAATAAAGGGAGAGGCCGTGGGGCATTCCCCTGGGGTATCTCTAATTTTTGGAGGATGCAGCCCCTTTTTATCCTAATTTCCCTCCTTTTTTCCCCATTTCTGAGGTACTTGAGAGGTTCAGACTTCCCAGAACTCCTGATCCCAAAGATTCCTAATGTATAACCCTCCTTTTGAATTTTTAATTCTTAAGGAATTTAGGATTTCCCCCCATTATTTCTTTTGTTTTCCAATGTCCAATTTAATTTATCAGCAAAGCTAAAGTTTATTTGTAAAAGCTAATCTCTTTTTCCATTCATCAATCAGTGGAATCTTTGCCACTGTTTCTTTTATCTCTCAGTGCTGCTTTTATCTGCCAGTTTGGAAAGATAAATCCCTCGTTCCTCTCCCTCCTCCTGCTCTGAGATGGGCCCTTGGGACGTTTTCTTGTGTTTTGGCAAAGTCATTTCATTCCCTTCTGAAAAATTCAGCCAAATCATCCCAAATCAAAAGCTTCCCATGGAAAAACTGATAAAAATGCCTTCAACTGGATGATTCTATTTATTAATGTACCATCTCTTAGGCTTAATTTGGTTCAGTTCCCCAATTTTCAATTAGTTGAGACAAATTTATACACGAGATAAATTTACGTTTTACCTAAGAGAAAAATAAAAGCTTTTCCCACACCATTCTTTTTTTTTCCAATAAAAAAAGACAAAGTCAACTTAGCAAAAAATCAAACTGACAGCACGTGAAATAGTCTGCTTTAGAAAATTTAGAATATTTAGTTGCCCAACAAGCTGCTCACAATAAAAAAATCACTGAAATTACGGAAAGGAAAGGAAAGGAAAGGAAAGGAAAGGAAAGGAAAGGAAAGGAAAGGAAAGGAAAGGAAAGGAAAGGAAAGGAAAGGAAGGAAAGGAAAGGAAAGGAAAGGAAAGGAAAGGAAAGGAAAGGAAAGGAAAGGAAAGGAAAGGAAAGGAAAGGAAAGGAAAGGAAAGGAAAGGAAAGGAAAGGAAAGGAAAGGAAAGGAAAGGAAAGGAAAGGAAAGGAAAGGAAAGGAAAGGAAAGGAAAGGAAAGGAAAGGGAAAAGGAAAAGGAAAAGGAAAAGGAAAAGTAGTTATTAAAAATAGTAAAATCAGAGTAATAAAAATTTGGACAATGAGGATTAGGACACTATGAGGCAATAAAAAGCAAAGAATTATGCATGTCTGGATGTTTTGGGCACTAATTTGCCAAAACCATGCCTTGTGAACAAAAAAATACCCCTAAAAGCAACAGCCTGCTGCATATTCATCTATCTCATACATAAATTCCTTGCAAATTAAGAACCTTTCTGGTTTTTCTCAACTTCTTCCCCTGAATCCTGGTAGTTCCATAAAGACAGAGAGGAGGTGGAAGAATGTTTGTGTTTTCTGATAAGGAGCTGTGACTCTTTGTCCTGTGCTGTTATCTGTGTGCGAAGAGTTTCTTGATTATCTCTTTTCTCGAGCTGGTAAAAAATCTTACATAACAAAGTTTATATTTTGACATTGTGTTATAGCCCGGAATTATATTTAACACAGAAGGAAGGAAGGAAGGAAGGAGGGCTCAGGGGCTCGAATGCACCTTTAGGCTCAGGTGAGCACCAGGAACCTCCTGGGGGAACTTTTACCCCCTCTGGTGTAACACCAGGTGTGAAAAACACCATTCATTTCTATTAAAATTTTAGAAGTTTAATAGTAATGAAAATAATAATGAAAATTGGGACAATAAGAGACAATAAAAAGCAAAGAATTGTGGACATCCAGGTGCCAGGACTACCCCTAAAAGCAACAGCCTGTTACATATTCATATATTTCGTACATGATTCAAACATTCCTTTCACACCAGGGTGTTTCTGCTGAATTTTAGTTTCCTCCTCCCCATCCTGTAAATCAGCTTTCTTGGTTCCTGGCAGTCTGAGCTTCCCCGATAAAGGGGCAATAATTCTTCTCTGGGGATCTTGGTGTCTCTTGCTGTTATCTCTGTCCCGATAGGATAATGCAAAGAATTTCTTGATTATCGTTTCCATTCTTTGAGCTAGTTACAAAAAGCATCTTATAGTTTCTATTTTAATATTATGCTATAGCCTAAAAACTGTATTTACCACGCTGCTTAAAAGAGATTATCACAGCACAACTTTCCAACATTACACACACAATATTCACTTTAATATTTGGGAAGAGCCAGTGGTATAATCTGCATTTTTCACAGGGGTCACCCCCAGTCCTTGGGGGGAAGGTGCAGAAATGAGTCTGGGGGCGCTTGGGGGGTTCTGCTGGGACCCCACACTCCAAATGAGGGGCTGAGACAGTTCTTGGGAATGGGGATATCTTTTGGAAGTGGGAATTCCCTGGGAATGGGAATGTCCTGTGGCAGTGGGAATGTCCCTTGGAATGTCCTTTGGGAGTGGGAATGTCCCTCGGAATGGGGCTGCCCTTTGGAAACGGGGCTGTCCCTTGGCAGTGGGAATGTCCCTGGGAATGGGGATGTCCCTGGGAATGGGGATGCCCTTTGGCAGTGGGAATGTCCTGTGGCAGTGGGAATATCCCTGGGAATGGGGATGTCCTTTGGGAGTGGGAATTCCCTGGGAATGGGGATGTCCCTGGGAATGGGGATGTCCCTTTGGGAGTGGGAATTCCCTGGGAATGGGGATGTCATTGAAAACGGGGCTGTCCCTGGGAATGGGAATGCCCTTTGGAAACGGGGCTGTCCCTTGGCAGTGGGAATTCCCTGGGAATGGGAATGCCCTTTGGAAACGGGGCTGTCCCTTTAGCAGTGGGAATGTCCCCGGGAATGGGGCTGTCCTTTGGAAAGGGGCTGTCCCTGGGAATGGGGATACCCTTGGCACTGGGAATGTCCCCGGGAATGGGAATGTCCCCGGGAATGGGAATGTCCCTGGGAATGGGAATGTCCCCGGGAATGGTGCTGCCCTTTGGAAAGGGGCTGTCCCTGGGAATGGGGATGCCCTTTGGGAGTGGGAATATCCCCGGGAATGGGGCTGCCCTTTGGAAAGGGGCTGTCCCTTGGCAGTGGGAATGTCCCTGGGAGTGGGAATGTCCCTGGGAACGGGGCTGTCCCTTAGCACCGGGAATGTCCCGTGGCACCGGGAATGTCCCGTGGCTCCGGGCTGGTGCGGGCTGTGCTGCCCCGGGAGGGGCAGGCCCGGCCGGGAGCGGCTCTGTCGGGGGATGAGGAGCCCGTTCCCTCCTCTCCGGTCCCTCCTCTCCGGTCCCTCCTCTCGGCCGTGTCCCGTCCCCGGAGCGGCCCGGCCATGGCAGCGGGCCCGGGCTCGCTCACCGTGCTCGTCCCGGTGCCCGCCGCGCTGCTGCGGGTACGGGCAGCGGCTCCCGGGGGCACCGGGGGTGCTGGGGGTGCGGCGTGCTGCGGGTTTGGGGGGCTGCAGGTTTGGGGGGCTTTAGGTTTGGGGCGCTTTAGGTTTGGGGTGCTGCAGGTTTGGGGTGCTGCAGGTTTGGGGGGCTGCAGGTTTGGGGGTGCCGGTTCTGGTTTGGGGGTGCCGGTTCTGTTTTGGGGGTGCCGGCTCCACTTGAGGGTGCCGGCTCCATTTGGGGGTGCCGGGTCCGTTTGGGGGTGCCGGTTCCGGTTTGGGGATGCCGGTTATGTTTTTGGGGTGCCGGCTCTGTTTTGGGGTGCCGGCTCCATTTGGGGGTGCCGGTTGTGTTTTTCGGGTGCCGGCTCTGTTTTGGGGGTGCCAGTTCTGTTTTGAGATGCCGGCTCCGTTTGGGGCTGCCGGTTCTGTTTTCGGGGTGCCGGCTCAGTTTTGGGGTTGCCGGCTCCGTCTGGGGGTGCCGGCCCCATTTGGGGGTGCCGGCTCTGTTTTGAGATGCCGGTTCTGGTTTGGGGATGCCGTTTGTGTTTTGGGGGTGCCGGCTCCATTTGGGGGTGCCGGTTGTGTTTTGGGGGTGCCGGTTCAGTTTTGGGGGTGCCGGTTCTGTTTTGAGGTGCCGGTTCTGTTTTGGGGTGCCGGTTCTGTTTGGGCGTGCCGGCTCTGTTTTGGGGGTGCCGGGTCCGTTTGGGGGTGCCGGCTCCGTTTGGGGGTGTCGGTTCTGCTTTGGGGGTGCCGGTTCTGTTTTGGGGGTGCCGGGTCCGTTTGGGGGTGCCGGTTCTGTTTTGGGGGTGCCGGTTCTGTTTGGGGGTGCCGGCTCCACTTGGGGGTGCCGGGTCCGTTTGGGGGTGCCGGTTGTGTTTTGGGGGTGCCGGCTCCACTTGGGGGTGCCGGCTCCATTTGGGGGTGCCGGCTCCACTTGGGGGTACCGGGTCCGTTTGGGGTTGCCGGCTCTGTTTTGGGGGTGCCGGTTGTGTTTTGGGGGTGCCGGGTCCGTTTGGGGGTGCCGGCTCCATTTAGGGGTGCCGGTTCCGTTTTGAGATGCCGGTTCTGTTTTGGGGTGCCGGTTCCTTTTTGGGGGTGCTGCAGCTGTGGAGGCTTTGCTGTAGGTTTGGGGGTGCTGCAGGTAAGGGCGGGCTTTGGGTGTGGGGGTGCTGTGAATTTGGGGGTGCTGCGACCACTGGCAGCGTTTCGGTGGCCCCGGAGTTGGGGTGCGGACAGCAGAGCCCTGAGGTGTTTGGGGGGGGACTCCCCCAGCCATCCCTCGCTCTTTCGGGGTCCGAGTGGACTCTGCACCCCAAAACCAGGGAGGCGGGGGCAGCCCCTGGGGGACACCGCGGGGTGACGCCTCTGGAGTTAATTTTGGGGTCCGTTTGCAGGTCATTGTCATGTCCAGCCATGAGACCATCCGGGTGCTGGAGGTGGGGGTGGATGGGGACCCCAAAACGGCCGCGGAGGGAGCGGGGGGGTCCCCGGCACAGGGGGGCCCCCCGGGTGCGGAGGATGCTCCCGGCAGCACCCCGAGCTCGTCCGGCGGGGAGGCGGCAGGTGAGAGACCCCCCCCCCGTTCCCGGGATCGTTACCGTGTCCCCGGGATCGTTCCCGGTACCCCCCGGTTCTCTCCCTCCCGGGATCGTTCCCGGTGCCCCCCGGTTCTCTCCCTCCCGGGATCGGTCCCGGTATCCCCCCGGTTCTCTTCCTCCCGGGATCGTTCCCCCCTGTTCTCTCCCTCCCGGGATCGTTCCCAGCAGTTCCCCCCGGTTCTCTCCCTCCCGGGATCGTTCCCGGTATCCCACCGGTTCTCTCCCTCCCGGGATCGTTCCCAGCAGTTCCCCCGGATCTCTCCCTCCCGGGATCGGTCCCGGTACCCCCCGGTTCTCTCCCTCCCGGGGTCGTTCCCGGTGCCCCCCGGTTCTCTCCCTCCCGGGATCATTCCCGGTACCCCCCGGATCTCTCCCTCCCGGGATCGTTCCCAGCAGTTCCCCCCGGGTCTCTCCCTCCCGGGATCGTTCCCGCTATCCCCCGGTTCTCTCCCTCCCGGGATCGTTCCCCCCGGTTCTCTCCCTCCCGGGATCAGCCCCACCGGTTCTCCCGCAGGTAAAGAAGCCAAAGCCGCCTCGCCGGTCCCGGTGCCCGCCCCGAGCCAGCCCGCCGTGACACACCTGGCCGTGCAGGCCGCCCCGCAGGTAACTGCCCCCCGGGGCTGGCGCCAGGGGGGACCCCGGGGGAGGTGTCCGCAGAGAGGGGGTGGCCAGGTAAGGGGGACCCCTTTTGTCCCCCCAAACAGACCTGGGGGGGAAGGGAGGCCCCAGGTGCCCCTTGGCTCCCTATGGAGGAGGGGTCCTGTGTTAGGGGGGACCCCGAGGTAAAGGGGATCCCCTCTCTGCCCCCCATCCCCAACAGAGCGGGGGGTCAGCAGTAAGGGGGGGTCCCCCTTTATCCCCTCCAGAGAGACCCCCAGTGCCCCCCACTTCACAGAGCTCCCCCCCTCTCCCCACGGAGAGGGGTTCACAATTCAGTGGGGCTCCCCCTTTGCCTCCCCCCCCCCAGAGGAGGGAGCCCCCCGGATCCCCCTTCCCCCAGGGGCTCCCCAGACAGGGGGCTCCCCCTTTTTTCCCCCCAGAGGGATCCACGGGCAGTTCCCCCTTTGCCGCCTCCCCAGAGGGGTGTCCCAGGCCGGGCGGGGGGTCCCCGCGGGGGTTTCCCTGATGCTGAGCAGGGCGTTGATTTGTGTTTCTCTTTCAAATCTCATTTATCTCCGCAGGTGTTGGCTCAGGAAAGCTTAGCCACAGGTGTGACAGGAGTAATGGTTCCGGCAGGGACAGTTACTCAACCTCTTCTTATCCCCATCAGTATTGCAGGTCAGGTGACAGGCCAGCAGGCGCTGGCCCTGGTGACAATTCCCACAGCAACGCTCGCCGCGCTCCCGGGACTGACGCCGGCGGCACCCGCGGGGGCGATTTTCAAACCGCCCGTAGCCAATCTCACAGGTAACCGCAGGTAACCGCGCCTGCCCCGCCACCGGCCCCGCCACCGGCACCGGCACCGGCCCCGGCCCCGCCACTGCCAGGGGAGGAGGTGCACAGCTGGCTGCAGCTGCAGGAGCGTCTGCAACGGGCTCCAGCCCGGGGCACTGAGTACCGGAGGTGGAGATTTGGGGCTCCAGATGTGGCATCTGCTGTAGATTTGAGGCTCCAGATGTGGCATCTGCTGTAGATTTGGGGCTCCAGATGTGGCATCTGCTTGGGGCTCCAGATGTGGCATCTGCTTGGGGCTCCAGATGTGGCACCTGTTGTGCATTTGAGGCTCCAGATGTGTCATCTGCTGTAGATTTGGGGCTCCAGGTGTGGCACCTGGTGCAGATTTGGCACTCCAGGTGTGGCATCTGCTGTAGATTTGGGGCTCCAGATGTGGCATCTGCTTGGGGCTCCAGATGTGGCATCTGCTGTAGATTTGGGGCTCCAGGTGTGGCATCTGCTGATTTGAGGCTCCAGATGTGGCACCTGTTGTGCATTTGAAGCTCCAGATGTGGCATCTGCTGTAAATTTAGGGCTCCAGATGTGGCACCTGGTGCAGATTTGGGGCTCCAGGTGTGGCACCTGGTGTAGATTTGGGGCTCCAGATGTGGCATCTGCTGTAGATTTGGGGCTCCAGATGTGGCATCTGCTTGGGGCTCCAGGTGTGGCCCCTGGTGTAGATTTGAGGCTCCAGATGTGGCACCTGGTGTAGATTTGGGGCTCCAGATGTGGCACCTGGTGTAGATTTAGGGCTCCAGGTGTGGCACCTGGTGTAGATTTGAGGCTCCAGATGTGGCACCTGGTGTAGATTTGGGGCTCCAGATGTGGCACCTGCTGTAGATTTGGGGCTCCAGATGTGGCACCTGCTGTAGATTTGAGTCTCCAGATGTGGCACCTGGTGTAGATTTGAGGCTCCAGATGTGGTATCTGCTGTAGATTTGAGTCTCCAGATGTGGCATCTGCTGATTTGGGGCTCCAGATGTGGCACCTGTTGTGCATTTGGGGCTCCAGATGTGGCACCTGCTGTAGATTTGGGGCGACAGATGTGGCACTTGGTGTAGATTTGAGGCTCCAGATGTGGCATCTGCTGTAGATTTGGGGCTCCAGATGTGGCATCTGGTGTAGATTTGGGGCTCCAGATGTGGCACCTGCTGTAGATTTGGGGCTCCAGATGTGGCACCTGGTGTAGATTTGGGGCTCCAGGTGTGGCACCCGTTGTGCATTTGGGGCTCCAGATGTGGCACCTGCTGTAGATTTGGGGCGACAGATGTGGCACTTGGTGTAGATTTGAGGCTCCAGATGTGGCACCTGGTGCAGATTTGGGGCTCCAGATGTGGCACCTGGTGTAGATTTAGGGCTCCAGATGTGGCACCTGGTGTAGATTTGAGGCTCCAGATGTGGCACCTGCTGTAGATTTGGAGCTCCAGATGTGGCACCCGTTGTGCATTTGGGGCTCCAGGTGTGGCACCTGCTGTAGATTTGGGGCTCCAGATGTGGCTCTAGATGCAGATTTGGTGCTCCAGGTGCAGATTTTGGGGCTGCAGGTGTGGCTCCAGGTGCAGATTTGGGCTCCAGGTGCAGATTTGGGGCTGCAGGTGCAGATTTTGGGCTCCAGGTGTGGCTTCAGGTTCAGATTTGGGGCTCCAGGTGCAGATTTGGGGCTCCAGATGTGGCTGCAGGCGCAGATTTTGGCTCCAGGTTCAGATTTGGGGCTCCACGTGCAGATTTGGGGCTCCAGGTGCAGCTCCAGGTGCAGATTTGGGGCTCCAGGTGCAGATTTGGGGCTCCAGGTGCAGATTTTGGGGCTGCAGGTGCAGATTTGGGGCTCCAGGTGCAGATTTGGGGCTGCAGGTGCAGATTTGGGGTGCCAAGTGCAGATTTGGGACTCCAGGTGTGGCTCCAGGTGCAGATTTGTGGCTCCGGGTGCAGATTTGGGGCTGCAGGTGCAGATTTGGGACTCCAGGTGTGGCTCCAGGTGCAGATTTGTGGCTCCAGGTGCAGATTTGGGGCGCCAGGTGCAGATTTGGGACTCCAGGTGTGGCTCTAGGTGCAGATTTGGGGCTGCAGGTTCAGATTTGGGGCTGCAGGTGCAGATTTGGGGCGCCAAGTTCAGATTTGGGGCACCAGGTGCAGATTTGGGGCTCCAGGTGCAGATTTGGGGTTCCAGGTGCAGATTTGGGGCTCCAGGTGCAGATTTTGGCTCCACATGCAGATTTCGGACTCCAGGTGTGGCTCCAGGTGCAGATTTGGGGCTCCAGGTGTGGCTGCAGGTGCAGATTTGGGCTCCAGGTGCAGATTTGGGGCGCCAGGTGCAGATTTGGGGCTCCAGGTGTGGCTCCAGGTGCAGATTTGGGACGCCAGGTGCAGATTTGGGGCTCCAGGTGCAGATTTGGGGCTCCAGGTGCAGATTTGGGGCGCCAGGTGCAGATTTGGGGCTCCAGGTGTGGCTCCAGGCGTGGCTCCAGGTGCAGATTTGGATTCCAGGTGCAGATTTGGGCTCCAGGTGCAGATTTGGGCTCCACATGCAGATTTGGGGCTCCAGGTGTGGCTCCGGGTGCAGATTTGGGGCTGCAGGTGCAGATTTGGGGCTCCAGGTGTGGCTCCACGTGCAGATTTGGGACTCCAGGTGCAGATTTGGGGCTGCAGGTGCAGATATGGGCTCCAGATGTGGCTCCAGGTGCAGATTTGGGCTCCAGGTGTGGCTCCAGGTGCAGATTTGGGCTCCAGGTGCAGATTTTGGGCTCCAGGCAATGGGGCAGAGCTGCAGGTGGGGAAGGGGGGGATGGAGCCGACCCCGCGGGGGCTCTCAGGGTGTGCCAGGAGTGTCCGGGGAGATTTGGGGTCCCCAAATCTGTGCTGCCGGTGGGACCGGCCCCGGTGACGGGGGTGGGGGGGGGACAGTCGGGCGGGGCGGGGGGACACGGGCGCGCCCCCGGTGCCGCCCCGCTCACGGTGTCTCCGTCTCTCCGCAGCCGCCGCCGTGCTCAGCCCCGCCGTCCCGGCCGTCCCGGCGGTCCCGGCGCCGCCGCCGCCCCCGGGGCAGCCCCCGCTGCTGCCCCAGCCCCCCCCGGCGCCCACCCCCACAAAGGAGCCCCCGATCTCCGTCCAGCCCCAGATCACCGGACTGGCCTTTAACCCCGGCATAGTAAGGACCGATCCCGGCCCATCCCGGGGGCCACGGGGAGCCCGGGAGTTCCAGGGCCGTGTCCCTGCCTCAGTTTCCCCAAGCGGGATTCCCTGCCTCAGTTTCCCCAAAGGAGATTCCCAGCCTCAGTTTTCCCAGTGGAGATTCCCCAGTGGGGATTCCCTGCCTCAGTTTCCCCAATGGGGATTCCCGGCCTCAGTTTCCCCAAAGGGGATTCCCCAATGGAGATTCCCTGCCTCAGTTTCCCCAAGAGGGATTCCCTGCCTCAGTTTCCCCAATGGGGATTCCCTGCCTCAGTTTCCCCAAGCGAGATTCCCTGCCTCAGTTTCCCCAATGGAGATTCCCCAATGGGGATTCCCTGCCTCAGTTTCCCCAATGGAGATTCCCTGCCTCAGTTTCCCCAATGGAGATTCCCTGCCTCAGTTTCCCCAGTGGAGATTCCCTGCCTCAGTTTCCCCAGTGGAGATTCCCTGCCTCAGTTTCCCCAGTGGAGATTCCCTGCCTCAGTTTCCCCAGTGGGGATTCCCTGCCTCAGTTTCCCCAATGGAGATTCCCCAATGGGGATTCCCTGCCTCAGTTTCCCCAAAGGAGATTCTCTGCCTCAGTTTCCCCAATGGAGATTCCCGGCCTCAGTTTCCCCAATGGGGATTCCCCAATGGAGATTCCCTGCCTCAGTTTCCCCAATGGGGATTCCCCAATGGGGATTCCCAGCCTCAGTTTCCCCAATGGAGATTCCCTGCCTCAGTTTCCCCAATGGGGATTCCCTGCCTCAGTTTCCCCAAGCAGGATTCCCGGCCTCAGTTTCCCCAATGGAGATTCCCTGCCTCAGTTTCCCCAATGGGGATTCCCGGCCTCAGTTTCCCCAATGGAGATTCCCTGCCTCAGTTTCCCCAGTGGGGATTCCCTGCCTCAGTTTCCCCAATGGGGATTCCCGGCCTCAGTTTCCCCAATGGAGATTCCCTGCCTCAGTTTCCCCAATGGAAATTCCCTGCCTCAGTTTGCCCAAGCAGGATTCCCGGCCTCAGTTTCCCTAAAGGAGATTCCCTGCCTCAGTTTCCCCAGTGGGGATTCCCTGCCTCAGTTTCCCCAGGCGGGATTCCCTGCCTCAGTTTCCCCAAAGGAGATTCCCTGCCTCAGTTTCCCCAATGGAGATTCCCGGCCTCAGTTTCCCCAGTGGAGATTCCCTGCCTCAGTTTCCCCCATGGAGATTCCCGGCCTCAGTTTCCCCAGTGGAGATTCCCCAATGGGGATTCCCGGCCTCAGTTTCCCCAAGCGGGATTCCCTGCCTCAGTTTCCCCAATGGAGATTCCCCAATGGGGATTCCCTGCCTCAGTTTCCCCAGTGGAGATTCCCGGCCTCAGTTTCCCCAAGCGGGATTCCCAGCCTCAGTTTCCCCAATGGAGATTCCCTGCCTCAGTTTCCCCAAAGGAGATTCCCTGCCTCAGTTTCCCCAATGGAGATTCCCTGCCTCAGTTTCCCCAAGCGGGATTCCCTGCCTCAGTTTCCCCAATGGGGATTCCCAGCCTCAGTTTCCCCAATGGGGATTCCCTGCCTCAGTTTCCCCAATGGGGATTCCCCAATGGGGATTCCCTGCCTCAGTTTCCCCAATGGAGATTCCCAGCCTCAGTTTCCCCAGTGGAGATTCCCGGCCTCAGTTTCCCCAATGGAGATTCCCTGCCTCAGTTTCCCCATACAGGATCCCTGCCTCAGTTTCCCAGGTCAGATCCCTGCCTCAGTTTCCCTGAGCAAGATCCCTGCCTCAGTTTCCCCGTGCAGGATCCCTGCCTCAGTTTCCCAGGTCAGATCCCTGCCTCAGTTTCCCTGAGCAAGATCCCTGCCTCAGTTTCCCCGTGCAGGACCCAAGTCTCAGTTTCCCTGAACTCAATCCCTGCCTCAGTTTCCCCATCCCAAAATCTGCAGCTGTGCTTCGGGCAGCTCCCAGCGGATGGATTTTGGGATTTCGGGATTTAGGGATTTAGGGATTTGGGGATTTAGGGACGCTCAGGGACCGGGAGGGGGGACAATCCGGGGGTCCCCTCTGGCCCAGCTCTGACCCCATTTCCATCCCGCAGCTCACGGCGGCTCTGGGGGCACAGCCGCAGATTTTGGGGTCCCTCAGTGCCCCCCCCGTGATCGCCACCCCCCTCCCCAGCATCCAGGGGATCCCGGGGCAGCTCCTGACCAGCGCCCAGGGCCAGGTACCGGGGGTCCCCCATCCCCGGGGAGGGGGTCGCGCTGTCCCCGGGCCGTGTCCCCTCTCGGGGTGGCATTCCGGGGTCCCCCAGCGCTGTGTCCCCCCGCAGGTGATCGGGACCCTGCCGTGGGTGGTGGCGCCCCCCGCGCCCGCCCCGCCCAGCCTGCAGGTGACAGCGGTGACCCCGCAGCTGCTGCTGAACGCGCAGGGCCAGGTCATCGCCGCGCTGGCCACCGGGACCCCCGCGCTGCCCACCGGGCCCCCCGCCCCGGGCCCCGGCAAGAAAAACGGGCCCGCAGAGCCCCCCGTCAAAAGCGAGGTGAGGCCACGCCCCGAGTCACCCCGAGTCCTTCTGAGACACCCTGAGACCCCCCGAGTCACCCCGAGTCACCCTGAGACCCCCCGAGTCACCCCGAGTCACCCCGAGTCCTTCTGAGACCCCCCGAGTCACCCCGAGTCACCCCGAGTCCTTCTGAGACCCCCCGAGTCACCCTGAGCCCCCCGAGTCACCCCGAGACACCCCGAGTCACCCTGAGCCCCCCGAGTCACCCTGAGTCACCCCGAGCCCCCCCGAGTCACCCTGAGTCTCCCCGAGTCACCCTGAGACACCCCGAGTCACCCTGAGCCCCCCCGAGTCTCCCCGAGTCACCCTGAGACCCCCTGAGCCCCTCCCGAGTCACCCCGAGTCCTTCTGAGACCCCCTGAGACACCCCGAGTCACCCCGAGTCACCCTGAGACCCCCGAGTCACCCCGAGCCCCCCCGAGTCCTTCTGAGACCCCCTGAGCCCCTCCCGAGTCACCCCGAGTCACCCTGAGCCCCCCGAGTCACCCTGAGCCCCCCGAGTCACCCCGAGTCCTTCTGAGACCCCCTGAGCCCCCCCGAGTCACCCCGAGTCACCCTGAGACCCCCGAGTCACCCCGAGCCCCCCCGAGTCCTTCTGAGACCCCCTGAGCCCCTCCCGAGTCACCCCGAGTCACCCTGGGCCCCCCGAGTCACCCTGAGCCCCCCGAGTCACCCCGAGTCCTTCTGAGACCCCCTGAGCCCCCCCGAGTCACCCCGAGTCCTTCTGAGACCCCCCGAGTCACCCCGAGCCCCCCCGAGTCACCCCGAGCCCCCCGAGTCACCCCGAGTCACCCCGAGCCCCCCCGAGCCCCCCCGAGTCACCCCGAGTCACCCTGAGCCCCCCGAGTCACCCCAAGACCCCCTGAGCCCCCCGAGCTCCCCCCCCACCAGCGAGGTGGGTCACGGCTGGGGGACAGTGACAGTGTGGCCAAAGGGTGGCATTGTCCCCAGCCAAGGGCCTTGGGGACCCCCCTGTGCCTTTGGGACCCCCCCCCTGTGCCTTTGGGACCCCCCCCCGTGCTTTGGGACCCCCCCTGTGCCTTAGGGACCCCCCTGTGCCTTGGGGACCCCCCCGGGCCTTTAGGACCCCCACATGCCTTTGGGACCCCCCCTGTGCCTTGGGGACCCCCCTGAGCCTTTGGGACCCCCCTGTGCCTTTGGGACCCTCCCTGTGCCTTTGGGACCCCCCACCCTGTGCCTTGGGGACCCCCCTGCTCCTTTGGGGACCCCCCCCTGTGCCTTTGGGACCCCCCCCGTGCCTTGGGGACCCCCCAGTGCCTTGGGGACCCCCCCTGTGCCTTGGGCCAGGCCCCCCAGGTCACCCCCAGGCACCCCCCCCAGCTCCCCCCCAGGTCACCCCCGAGTCACCCCCAGGCCCCCAATCCCCCCGGGTCACCCCCAAGTCCCCCCCAGGTCACCCCCGGGTCTCCCCCAAGTCCCCCCCAGGTCCAGCCCAGGTCACCCCCGAGTCCCCCCCCGGCCCCCGATCCCCCCAGGTCCCCCCCAGGCCCCCCCCAGGACCCCCGAGTCCCCCCCCGGCCCCCAATCCCCCCGGGTCCCCCCAGATCACCCCTGGGTCACCCCCAGGCCCCCGATCCCCCCCAATCCCCCCCAGGTCACCCCCAGGCCCCCGATCCCCCCCAGGTCCCCCCAGGTCACCCCCCGCTCCCCCCAGGTCCAGCCCATCCAGCCGGCCCCCGCCGGGGTGGGGACGAGCCCCACGGCCAAAGTGGCACCATCGCCGGTGCCCATCAGCTGCTCCGAGACCCCCACCGTGAGCCAACTGGTGGCCAGTGAGTTACTGGGAGCACTGGGACCGGGCTCTGGGCTGGGGGGGCACCGAGGGGTCGGGGGTCCCTGGGAAGGGGCAGGGCAGGAGCCGGGATGGGGTGGGAAGGGGAGAATGGGGTCTGGGGTCCCTGGAAGAGATCAGGATTGGGGGAGAATGGGGTCTGGGGTCCCCGGGCACAGAGGGATCGGGGGGCTCTGGGCACAGAGGGCTCGGGGGGCTCTGGGTTTGGGGGTCCCTGGGCATGGCAGGCTCGGGGGGCTCTGGGCTCGGGGGACTCGGGGGGCTCTGGGGTCGGGGGTCCCTGGGCATGGCAGGCTCGGGGGTCCCCGGGCACAGAGGGCTTGGGGGGCTCTGGGCTTGGGGGTCCCTGGGCACAGAGGGCTCGGGGGGCTCTGGGCACAGAGGGCTCGGGGGGCTCTGGGTTTGGGGGTCCCTGGGCACGGCAGGCTCGGGGGGCCCTGGGTTTGGGGGTCCCTGGGCACGGTGGGCTCGGGGGGCTCTGGGCATGGCAGGCTCGGGGGGCTCTGGGTTTGGGGGTCTCTGGGCACAGAGGGCTTGGGGGGCTCTGGGCTCGGTGGGCTCGGGGGGCTCTGGGCTTGGGGGTCCCTGGGCACAGAGGACTTGGGGGTCCCCGGGCACAGAGGGCTTGGGGGGCTCTGGGCATGGCAGGCTCGGGGGGCTCTGGGTTCGGGGGTCCCTGGGCACAGAGGGATCGGGGGGCTCTGGGTTCGGGGGTCCCTGGGCACAGAGGGATCGGGGGGCTCTGGGCACGGCAGGCTCGGGGGTCACTGGGTTTGGGGGTCCCCGGGCCCGGGGCTCACAGCCCCCCGTGCCCCCCAGAGCCCCCCGCCCCGCCCAGCACGGAGGAGGACGGGATCAACCTGGAGGAAATCCGGGAATTCGCCAAGAACTTCAAACTGCGGCGCCTCTCGCTGGGGCTGACCCAGACCCAGGTGGGACAGGCCCTGACGGCCACCGAGGGCCCTGCCTACAGCCAGTCGGCCATCTGCAGGTAATGGCACCTGGGGACAGCTAATGGCACCTGGGGACAGCTGTGGGGACAGGGACAGGGACATCTGCAGGTAATGGCACCTGGGGACAGCTGTGGGGACAGGTAATGGCACCTGGGGACAGCTGTGGGGACAGGTAATGGCACCTGGGGACAGCTAATGGCACCTGGGGACAGCTCTGGGGACAGGTAATGGCACCTGGGGACAGGTAATGGCACCTGGGGACAGCGACAGGGACAGGTAATGGCACCTGGGGACAGGGACAGGGACAGGTAATGGCACCTGGGGACAGCGACAGGGACAGGGTTTGACAAGGTGGACATCAGCCCCAAGACATCCCTGCCCAGTGTCCCCTGCGTGTCCCCTGAGTGTCCCCTGAGTGTCCCCAGGTTTCAGAAGCTGGACATCCCCCCCGAGTGTCCCCTGAGTGTGTCCCCTGAGTGTCCCCCTGAGTGTCCCCTGAGTGTCCCCATGTGTCCCCAGGTTCGAGAAGCTGGACATCCCCCCTGACTGTCCCCTGAGTGTCCCCTGAGTGTCCCCCTGAGTGTCCCCTGAATGTCCCCCTGAGTGTCCCTGTGTTCCCAGGTTCCAGAAGCTGGACATCCCCCCTGAGTGTCCCCTGAGTGTGTCCCCTGAGTGTCCCCTGTGTCCCCCCGAGTGTCCCCTGAGTGTCCCCTGAGTGTCCCCTGAGTGTCCCCTGAGTGTCCCTGTGTCCCCAGGTTCCAGAAGCTGGACATCCCCCCTGAGTGTCCCCTGAGTGTCTCCCCCGAGTGTCCCCTGAGTGTCCCCTGAGTGTCCCCTGAGTGTCCCCTGAGTGTCCCCCCTGAGTGTCCCCTGAGTGTCCCCTGAGTGTCCCCTGAGTGTCCCCCCTGAGTGTCCCCTGACTGTCCCCTGTGTCCCCATGTGTCCCCAGGTTCCAGAAGCTGAACATCCCCCCTGAGTGTCCCCTGAGTGTCCCCCCTGAGTGTCCCTGTGTCCCCAGGTTCCAGAAGCTGGACATCCCCTCTGACTGTCCCCTGAGTGTGTCCCCTGAGTGTCCCCTGTGTCCCCATGTTCCAGAAGCTGAACATCCCCCCTGAGTGTCCCCCCTGAGTGTCCCCTGAGTGTCCCCTGAGTGTCCCCTGAGTGTCCCCTGTGTCCCCCTGAGTGTCCCCCTGAGTGTCCCCTGTGTCCCCCCGAGTGTCCCCCTGTGTCCCCCTGAGTGTCCCCATGTGTCCCCTGTGTCCCCAGGTTCGAGAAGCTGGACATCACGCCCAAGAGCGCGCAGAAGCTGAAGCCGGTGCTGGAGAAGTGGCTGCGGGAAGCGGAGCAGCGGCAGCGCGAGGGGCAGCAGCACCTGCTGGAGTTCGTGGGGGGCGAGCCGGGCAAGAAGCGCAAGCGGCGCACGTCCTTCACCCCGCAGGCCCTGGAGGCCCTCAACGCGCACTTCGAGCGCAACGCGCTGCCCACGGGCGCCGAGATCACGCGCATCGCGCAGGAGCTGCGCTACGAGCGCGAGGTGGTGCGCGTCTGGTTCTGCAACCGCCGCCAGACCCTCAAGAACACCAGCAAGCTCAACGTCTTCCACGTGCCATGATGGGCAGTGCCAGGCCTGCCACCGGCATGCCGGGCCTGGCCCTCCATGCCCGGGCCTGTGTCCGTCTCAGGCCTCCCCCAGTCCCAAACTGGGAGCGCTGGGAGCGCCCCCGTGTCCCCCCGGCCGCCAGCCATCGGCACTTCGGGCACCGGTTCTGTCCTTCTGCCACCCGGTTCTGTCCCTCTGCCACCCGGTTCTGTCCCTCTGCCACCTGGTTCTGTCCTTCTGCCACACGGTTCTGTCCCTCTTCCATCTGGTTCTGTCCTTCTGTCACCCGCTTCTGTCCTTCTGTCACCCGGTTCTGTCCCTCTGCCACCCGGTTCTGTCCCTCTGCCGCCCGGTTCTGTCTCTCTGCCACCCGGTTCTGTCCCCATCTGGTTCTGTCCCTCTGCCACCCGGTTCTGTCCTTCTGCCGCCCGGTTCTGTCCTTCTGCCACCTGGTTCTGTCCCTCTGCCACCCGGTTCTGTCCTTCTGCCACCCAGTTCTGTCCCTCTGCCACCTGGTTCTGTCCCTCTGCCACCTGGTTCCGCCACCACACCTGTACCCGTGTCCACCATGGTCATACCCGTGTCCACCACACCTGTACCTGTGTCCACCACACCTGTACCAGTGTCCACCATGCCCATACCTGTGTCCACCATGCCCGTACCAGTGTCCACCACACCTGTACCTGTGTCCACTGTGCCCGTACCTGTGTCCACCATGCCCGTACCTGTGTCCACCACACCTGGACCCGTGTCCACCACTCCTGTATCAGTGTCCACCATGCCCGTACCTGTGTCCACCACACCTGTACCAGTGTCCACCATGTCCATACCTGTGTCCACCATGCCCGTACCTGTGTCCACCATGGTCATACAAGTGTCCACCACACCTGGACCCGTGTCCACCATGCCCGTACCTGTGTCCACCACACCTGTACCAGTGTCCACCACACCTGTACCAGTGTCCACCACACCTGTACCAGTGTCCACCATGTCCGTACCTGTGTCCACTGTGCCCGTACCAGTGTCCACCACACCTGGACCCGTGTCCACCATGGTCATACCCGTGTCCACCACACCTGTACCTGTGTCCACCACACCTGTACCAGTGTCCACCACACCTGTACCAGTGTCCACCACACCTGTACCAGTGTCCACCATGTCCGTACCTGTGTCCACTGTGCCCGTACCTGTGTCCAGCACCCCTGTACCCGTGTCCAACATTCCATGTCTTCCACACATTCTCAACTGGGAGCACTGGGAACATCCCAGTTCCCGGTCACGGTCCCCCATGACCGCCTGCCATCAACACTTCGGCGACTGATTTTATCCCTTTGGCCACTGGTTTTGTCCCTTTGGCCACTGGTTTTGTCCCTTTGGCCACGGATTTTGTCCCTCTGCCCCCTGTACCTGTGCCCACCTGTGCCTGTGTGTGTCCCCCGTTCCCTCCTGTCACACACGACCCGAGCTGGTGTCACCCCTCCCCACCTGTGACACGCGTGGTGACAGACCCCCCTGAGTGTCACACACCCGCCCAAAATCCGCGAGTTCCATTTTTCTGGGTTTTGCTCTTTTTGCTGTGTTACTGAGGTGATGTTACGGCTCACCGGGGGTGACCCCAAATTTATGTCACCCCACGCTGGTTTTGCGTGAGGGGCTTCTGGGGGTGATCCCCCACCTTGGGGAGGTCCCGTGGGTGGATTTTGGGGACATCATCCCCGGCCTTGGGGGGCGTGAACCCCAAAGCAGCGGCAGCGCCCCTTCCCCACCTCCCCCTGCCCGGAGCCCGGGGGGCTCCAGCCCCGCCGGGAGCGATGGGAGGGGAGCTTCGGGGGGGACACGGGGCCGCGGCAGATTGATGCACTTGATGTAGTGGTGTGAAATAAACTGTATTTTTCTTTTTTCTTTTCCTTTCCCCTTTTTTCAGGCCGTTCCGCGGCCGGCGCAGCGGCGGGAGCGGGAATCGAACCCGCGGCCCTAGGGAGGCGCCGCACACAGCCCAGCGCCGCACGCCGCCGCGGCCACGCCCCCCAGCCAATCCCCGAGCGGCCTGCCAGGCGCGCAGCTATCTATTGGTTACTTTGTCTGTCAGTCACGCGGCAATGCCCGGTCCCATTGGCTGAGCGGGGCCGAGGGGCGGGGCCACAGCCCAGCGGCGGGGGTGGGGCCTCCGCCTCCATCTTGGCGGAGCGGCGGGTTTGGGGTCCCGGCCCGGAGCGGGCGGGCCCGGACTGGACTGGGGGTCCCGTCTGGATTGGGGGTCCTGGTCTGGATTGGGGGTCCCGGGCTGGACTGGGGGTCCCGGGCTGGACTGGGGTCCCGGACTGGACTGGGGGTCCTGGTCTGGATTGGGGGTCCCGGACTGGACTGGGGGTCCCGGACTGGACTGGGGGTCCTGGTCTGGATTGGGGGTCCCGGCTCGGATCAGGGGGTCCCGGCTAGATTGGGGGGTCCCGGCTGAACTGGGGGTCCCGGCTCGGATTTGGGGTCCTGGCCTGGATTGGGGCGGACCCCGCGGGTGCAGCCCTTGGAGGGGAGTGCAGGATTTTGGGGTCCCCCTTTGTAAGATTTTGGGGTCCCCCTTGAGTGCAGCCCTTGGAGGGGACTGTAGGATTTTGGGGTCCCCCTTTGTAGGATTTTGGGGTCCCCTTGGGTGCAGCCCCTGGAGGGGAGTGCAGGATTTTGGGGTCCCCTTGGGTGCAGCCCTTGGAGAGGACTGTAGGATTTTGGGGTCCCTTTGGGTGCAGCCCTTGGAGGGGACTGTAAGATTTTGGGGTCCCCCTTGGGTGCAGCCCTTGGAGGGGACTGTAGGATTTTGGGGTCCCCCTTGGGTGCAGCCCTTGGAGGGGACTGTAGGATTTTGGGGTCCCCTTGGGTGCAGCCCTTGGAGAGGACTGTAGGATTTTGGGGTCCCCCTTTGTAGGATTTTGGGGTCCCCTTGGGTGCAGCCCTTGGAGGGGAGTGCAGGATTTTGGGGTCCCCCTTTGTAGGATTTTGGGGTCCCCTTGAGTGCAGCCCCTGGAGGGGAGTGCAGGATTTTGGGGTTCCCTTGGGTGCAGCCCTTGGAGGGGACTGTAGGATTTTGGGGTCCCCCTGGGTGCAGCCCTTGGAGGGGACTGTAGGATTTTGGGGTGCCCCTTTGTAGGATTTTGGGGTTCCCCGGTGCAGCCCTTGGGGTCGGTCTGTAGAACTCGGGGCCCCCCGGCGCTGCTGCCTCTCGGGGGTTTTGGGGTTTGGGGGTCCCCCCGAGGTGTTCCCTTTGAGGCGCTCCAAGAGTGGGGGTGCAGCCTCGGGGGTGTCGCTGGGTTTTGGGGTTCATTTGCCTGTTTTAGTGGGGTTTGGGGGTCCCCAAGTTGGTCACTGCAAGAGAGGGTCCTCAGGAGGTTTGGGGGGCACTGGTACCCCCAGAAATCAGGGAGGGGTTTTGGGGTGCCCCGAGGAGACCCTGGGTTGGGGGTGACTGAGGAGCCCTTTTTTTGGGGTGACACTGAAGATATTGGCCTGTCAGTTTGGGGGTGACCCCAAGGCCCCCTAGTTTTGGGGGGACCCCTACAAACCCCTTTCTGGGGTGACCCCAAAGACCCGCGTGTTTGGGGGTGCCCCAAACCCCCACTTCTGCCGTGTTCCCAATACACCCCATTCCTGAGTAGCTCCAGACCCCCCCATTTTTGGGGTGACCACGACGGCCCCCTTTTCTGTGGGGTGACCCTGAGGACCCCCCGTGTTTGGGGGTGACCCACAGCCGTTTTTGGGGTGCTGGGGCCATGGCGTGGGCGCTGAAGCTGCCGCTGGCGGACGAGGTGATCGAGTCGGGGCTGGTGCAGGATTTCGACGCCAGCCTCTCGGGCATCGGGCAGGAACTCGGCGCTGGCGCCTACAGCATGAGGTACCGGGGACCCCAAAACTGACAGGGCACCCCAAAACTCTCAGGGCACCCCAAAACTCTCAGGGCACCCCAGAACACCCCGGGGAAGGCAGGGAGCGGGGAGCCCCAAAATGAGCTGGAGGTTGAAGGCGTCAATCAGCACCTCAGCACCCGTACCCAAAGCAGGAGGGGACCCCAGAATCGCCAGAGGCACCCCAAAATCTCTGTGGATCACCAGAAGCCCTAAGGGAAACCCCAAAATCTCCAGGGGTCCCCGGAATCTCTGGGGGGTGTCCCAAAATCTCCAGGGGTCCCCAGAATCCTGCGGGTTCTCCAGCATCTTCATAAGGGATCTCAAATCCCCGGTGGCAACCCCAAAATCTCCAGGGGTCCCCGGAATCTCTGGGGGGTCCAAAATCTCTGGGGGTCCCCAGAATCTCTGGGGGGGGTCCCAAAATCTATGGGGTCCCCAGAATCTCTGGGGGGTGTCCCAAAATCTCTGGGGTCCCCAGAATCTCGGGGAATCCCAAAATCTATGGGGTCCCCAGAATCTCTGGGGGATCCCAAAATCTATGGAGTCCCCAGAATCTCTGGGGGGTGTCCCAAAATCTCTGGGGGTCCCAAAATCTCCAGGGGTCCCCAGAATCCTGCGGGTTCTCCAGCATCTTCATAAGGGATCTCAAATCCCCGGTGGCAACCCCAAAATTTCCAGGGGTCCCCGGAATCTCTGGGGGATCCCAAAATCTCTGGGGGTCCCCAGAATCTCTGGGGGAATCCCAAAATCTATGGTGTCCCTGGAATCTCTGGGGGGTTCAAAATCTCTGGGGTCTCCAGAATCTCTGGGGGAATCCCAAAATCTCTGGAGCCCCCAGAATCTCTGGGGGGGGTCCTAAAATCTCTGGGGGTCCCCAGAATCTCTGGGGGAATCCCAAAATCTCTGGGGTCCCCAGAATCTCTGGGGGGTCCAAAAGTCTCTGGGGATCCCCAGAATCTCTGGGGGGGTGTCCCAAAATCTCCAGGGGTCCCCGGAATCTCTGGGGGATCCCAAAATCTCTGGAGTCCCTGGAATCTCTGGGGGGTCCCAAAATCTCTGGAGTCCCCAGAATCTCTGGGGGGGTCCCAAAATCTCCGGGGGTCCCCAGAATGGCAGGGGTTGCCAGGGGCACGGGGAGCCCTGAACTGTGCCAAATTTGGGGTACCAAGGGGGGAATTGGGGGCGTTGGGGGGGAATTGGGGTTGGGATGGAGTAGGGATGGATTTGGGATGGAGTTGGGGGAGAGTTGTAATTGGAATTACGGCTGAAGTAATGCCCCGAGCTGCATTTGGGGCTGGGATGGATTCGGGATGGGTTTGGGATGGATTTGGGATGGGTTTGGGATGGATTTGGGATGGATTCGGGATGGGTTTGGGATGGATTTGGGATGGATTTGGGATGGGTTTGGGATGGATTTGGGATGGATTCGAGAGGCAGTTGGGGTAAAGCTGGAATGGATTCGGGATGCAGTAGGGATGGATTTGGGATGGATTTGGGATGCAGTAGGGATGGATTTGGGATGGATTTGGGATGCAGTAGGGATGGATTTGGGATGCAGTTGGGGATTCAGGATGCTGTAAGGATAGATTTGGGATGGATTGGGATGGATTTGGGATGCAGTTGGGGATTCAGGATGCTGTAAGGATAGATTTGGGATGGATTGGGATTGATTTGGGATGCAGCTGGGGATTCAGGATTCTGTAAGGATAGATTTGGGATGGATTCGGGATGGATTTGGGGATTCAGGATGCTGTAAGGATAGATTTGGGATGGATTTGGGATGGATTTGGGATGGATTTGGGATGCAGTAGGGATTGATTTGGGATGCAGTTGGGGATTCAGGATGCTGTAAGGATAGATTTGGGATGGATTTGGGATGCAGTAGGGATGGATTCGGGGATTCGGGATGCTGTAAGGATAGATTTGGGATGGATTTGGGATGCAGTAGGGATTGATTTGGGGATTCAGGATGCTGTAAGGATAGATTTGGGATGGATTTGGGATTGATTTGGGATGCAGTGGGGATTGATTTGGGATGCAGCTGGGGATTCAGGATGCTGTAAGGATAGATTTGGGATGGATTCGGGATGCAGTAGGGATTGATTTGGGATGCAGTTGGGGATTCAGGATGCTGTAAGGATAGATTTGGGATGCAGTAGGGATGCAGTAGGGATGGATTTGGGGATTCAGGATGCTGTAAGGATAGATTTGGGATAGATTTGGGATGCAGTAGGGATGGATTTGGGATGGATTCGGGATGGATTTGGGGATTCAGGATGCTGTAAGGATAGATTTGGGATGCAGTTGGGATGGATTCAGGATGGATTTGGCGATTCAGGATGCTGTAAGGATGGATTTGGGATGGATTCGGGATGCAGTAGGGATGGATTTGGGATGGATTCAGGATGCAGTCGGGCTGGAGCTCTGGCTGGAGTAGGGAAGGAGCAGGGCTGGAGTTACAGCTGGAATTGCGGTTGTTGTCGTGCTGCAGTCAGGGTTAGGGGTGCTTGCAGGGGTGCCCAGGTGCTGACAGGTGTATTCAGGTGGCCACAGGTGTGTTCCAGGTGAGCACCTGAGGCCGGAGGTTCAGGGCACACCTGGAGCACTGGGCCGGGTTCCTGGTGGGGCTCTTCCTCCAGGTGTCAAAGCCCAGCTTGGATTGCCAGAATCCCTGCCCCCCCCCCCCAGCTCACCTGTCTCAGGTGACTCTCAGGTAACTCTCTCCCGTCTCTGCAGCGATGTCCTGGCTCTGCCCATCTTCAAGCAGGAGGAGTCCAGCTTGCCCCCGGAGAACCAGGACAAGCTGCTGCCCTTCCAGTACGTTCTGTGCGCTGCCACCTCCCCCGCCGTCAAGCTGCACGACGAGACCCTCACCTACCTCAACCAAGGTGAGCACACCTGTCCTGCACAGGTACAGGTACCCCTGGGGGGGTCCTGCCTGTGGAATTGTCATTCCTGGGGGAATTGGTGATTTTTGGGAGGTGGCAGTGCCTGCACCTGGCTGTGCTCTGCCCAGGTGGGGCAGGAGTCACCTGGGGGGTTTGCCAGGTTAAAGGTGGTAACAGGTGTGTGCAGGGAGAATCACAGGTGTGTGTAAGGTGTATCTGTGCAGGTGTGTGTAAGGTGTATCTATAGTGTGTGTAGGGTGGATATAGGTGTGTGTAAGGTGTATATGTACAGGTGTGTGTAAGGTGTATCTATAGTGTGTGCAGGGTGGATATAGGTGTGCGTAAGGTGTATCTGTACAGGTGTGTGTAAGGTGTATCTGAGTGTGTAAGGTGTATCTGTACATGTGTGAGGTGTATCTGAGTGTGTAAGGTGTATCTGTACAGGTGTGTGTAAGGTGTATCTGAGTGTGTAAGGTGTATCTGTACAGGTGTGAGGTGTATCTGAGTGTGTAAGGTGTATCTGTACAGGTGTGTGTAAGGTGTATCTGAGTGTGTAAGGTGTATCTGTACAGGTGTGAGGTGTATCTGTGTGTGTAGGGTATATATGTACAGGTGTGTGTAAGGTGTATCTGTGTGTGTAAGGTGTATCTGTGTAAGGTGTATCTGTACAGGTGTGTGTAAGGTGTATCTATACAGTGTGTGCAGGGTGGATACAGGTGTGTGTAAGGTGCATCTGTACAGGTGTGTGTAAGGTGTATCTGTACAGTGTGTGCAGGGTGGATATAGGTGTGTGTAAGGTGTATCTGAGTGTGTAAGGTGTATCTGTGTGTGTAAGGTGTATCTGTGTAAGGTGTATCTGTACAGGTGTGCATAAAGTGTATCTGTACAGTGTGTGCAGGGTGGATACAGGTGTGTGTAAGGTGTATCTGTACAGGTGTGTGTAAGGTGTATCTGAATGTGTAAGGTGTATCTGTACAGGTGTGAGGTGTATCTGTGTGTGTAAGGTGTATCTGTGTAAGGTGTATCTGTACAGGTGTGTGTAAGGTGTATCTGTACAGCTGTGTGTAAGGTGTATCTGTACAGGTGTGTGCAGGGTGGATACAGGCGTACAAGGTGATTACAGGTGTATGTAAGGTATATCTGCACAGGTGTGTGCAAGGTGTGTCTGTACAGTGTGTGCAGGGTGGATACAGGCGTACAAGGTGATTACAGGTGTATGTAAGGTATATCTGCACAGGTTTGTGCAAAGTGTGTCTGTACAGTGTGTGCAGGGTGGATATAGGTGTGTGTAAGGTGTATCTGTACAGGTGTGTGTGAGGTGTGTCTGTACAGGTGTTTGGTGTATCTGTGTGTGTAAGGTGTATCTGTACAGGTGTGCGTAAGGTGTAGCTATACAGTGTGTGCAGGGTGGATACAGGTGTGTGTAAGGTGTATCTGTACAGGTGTGTGTAAGGTGTATCTGTGTATGTAAGGTGTATATGTACAGGTGTGAGGTGTATCTGTGCAGGTATGTACAAGATGTGTCTGTAGAGGTGTGTGCAGAGGATTACAGGTGTGTGTAAGGTGTATCTGTGTGTGTAAGGTGTATCTGTACAGGTGTGAGGTGTATCTGTGTGTGTAAGGTGTATCTGTACAGGTGTGTGTAAGGTGTATCTGTACAGGTGTGTGTAAGGTGTATCTGTACAGGTGTGTGTAAGGTGTATCTGTGTAAGGTGTATGTGTGTGTAAGGTGTGTCTGTACAGGTGTGTGTAAGGTGTATCTGTGCAGGTGTGCGTAAGGTGTATCTATAGTGTGTGCAGGGTGGATATAGGCGTGTGTAAGGTGTATCTGTACAGGTGTGTGTGAGGTGTGTCTGTACAGGTGTTTGGTGTGTCTGTACAGGTGTTTGGTGTATCTGTACAGGTGTGTGTAAGGTGTATCTGTGTAAGGTGTATCTGAGTGTGTAAGGTGTATCTGTACAGGTGTGTGTAAGGTGTATCTATGTGTGTAAGGTGTATCTGTACAGGTGTGCGTAAGGTGTATCTGTGTGTGTAAGGTGTATCTGTACAGGTGTGAGGTGTATCTGTGTGTGTAAGGTGTATCTGTGTACGGTGTATCTGTACAGGTGTGTGTAAGGTGTATCTGAGTGTGTAAGGTGTATCTGTACAGGTGTGCGTAAGGTGTATCTGAGTGTGTAAGGTGTATCTGTACAGGTGTGTGCAGGGTGGATACAGGTGTACAAGGTGATTACAGGTGTATGTAAGGTATATCTGCACAGGTGTGTGTAAGGTGTATCTGTACAGATGTGTGTAAGGTGTATCTGTGTGTGTAAGGTGTATCTGAGTGTGTAAGGTGTATCTGTGCAGGTATGTACAAGATGTGTCTGTAGAGGTGTGTGCAGAGGATTACAGGTGTGTGTAAGGTGTATCTGAGTGTGTAAGGCCTACCTGTACAGGTGTGTGTAAGGTATAACTGTACAGGTGTGTGTAAGGTGTATCTCTGTGTGTAAGGCGTACCTGTACAGGTGTGTGTAAGGTATAACTGTACAGGTCAGTGCTGGGCAGCACTGCAGGCTGGCACTTACAGGTTCAGGCTGTACCTGCTGCTTTCAGGTACGACTGGAAGGTCTGGGTTGGTGGGACCCCCCAATGAAAAGGAGCTCAGGGGACAGGTACAGGTGACAGAAATCCCTCAGGTGCGCTCCTGCCCCCAGGTCAATCCTACGAGATCCGGATGTTGGACAACAGGAAACTGGGGGAGCTGCCCGAGATCAACGGGAAGCTGGTCAAGGTGAGCACGGAGCACAGGTGCCCCTGCCCAGGTGTGCCCATGCCAGCCAGGTGCATGCAGCTGGGCGGGGCTGGGAGATACACCTGTCTGGGGGAGGAGGGTGGTTCCCTTGTCCCCTTTTTGGCGCAGGGAAGGGCTGCACCTGGCCAGGTGTGCCAGGGCAGCTCCAGGTGACGTTTCCACCTTCCCCAGAGCATCTTCCGGGTGGTTTTCCACGACCGGCGGCTGCAGTACACGGAGCACCAGCAGCTGGAGGGCTGGAGGTGGAACCGACCTGGCGACAGGATCCTGGACATAGGTGAGTCTCACCTGGCTGGGGCAGCTGGGACGTCCCAGGTGGGCCTCACCTGTTCCCCCCACAGATATCCCCATGTCCGTGGGGATCATCGACCCCCGTGCGAACCCGACGCAGCTCAACACCGTGGAGTTCCTGTGGGATCCCTCCAAGAGGACGTCAGTCTTCATCCAGGTGAGGACAGGTGGGCTCTGTCCCGCACCCAGGTGAGGACAGGTGGGCTCTGTCCCGCACCCAGGTGAGGACAGGTGGGCTCTGTTCCACACCCAGGTGAGGACAGGTGGGCTCTGTCCCACACCCAGGTGAGGACAGGTGGGCTCTGTCCCACACCCAGGTGAGGACAGGTGGGCTCTGTCCCACATCCAGGTGAGGACAGGTGGGCTCTATCACATCCAGGTGAGGACAGGTGGGCTCTACCACACCCAGGTGAGGACAGGTGGGCTCTATCACATCCAGATGAGGACAGGTGGGCTCTACCACATCCAGGTGAGGACAGGTGGGCTCTGTCCCACACCCAGGTGAGGATAGGTGGGAAGTGCCTCACACCCAGGTGAGGACAGGTGGGCTCTGTCCCACATTGAGGTGAGGACAGGTGGGCTCTGTCCCACATCCAGGTGAGGACAGGTGGGATCTGTCCCACACCCAGGTGAGGACAGGTGGGCTCTGGCCCTCACCCAGGTGAGGACAGGTGGGCTCTACCACACCCAGGTGAGGACAGGTGGGCTCTGTCCCGCACCCAGGTGAGGACAGGTGGGTTCTGTCCCACGTTAAGGTGAGAACAGGTGGGCTCTGTACCACATCCAGGTGAGGACAGGTGGGCTCTGCCCCACATCCAGGTGAGGACAGGTGGGCTCTGCCCCACGGCAGCAGCCCCACAGGAAGCTCACCTGTCCGCAGGTGCACTGCATCAGCACGGAGTTCACGCTGCGCAAGCACGGCGGCGAGAAGGGCGTTCCCTTCCGCGTGCAGATCGACACCTTCCGGGAGAACGAGAGCGGGGAGTACACGGAGCACCTGCACTCCGCCAGCTGCCAGATCAAGGTGTTCAAGGTACCTGGGCTCACCTGGGGGTCTGTCCCAGTTTGTTCCGGGGGGCCTCAGAAACCTCCCACCTTTAGGAGGACCAGCCCCAGCCAGTTACAGGTGTGTTCAGGTGTTACAGGTGTGTTCAGGGGTTACAGGTGTGTGCAGAGTGCTTACAGGTGTCTCCAGGTGGTTACAGGTGTGTTCTGGTGTTACAGGTGTCTCCAGGTGGTTACAGGTGTGTTTAGGTGGGCACAGGTGTATTCAGGGGGTTACAGGTGTGTTCAGATGGTTACAGGTGTGTGCAGAGTGGTTACAGGTGTGTTCAGGTGTTACAGGTGTCTCAAGGGGGTTACAGGTGTGTTCTGGTGTTACAGGTGTCTCCAGGTGGTTACAGGTGTGTTCAGGTGTTACAGCTATTTTCAGGGGGTTACAGGTGTGTTCAGGTAGTTACAGGTGTGTTCAGATGGTTACAGGTGTGTTCAGGTGGTTACAGGTGTGTTCAGGGGTTACAGGTGTTTTCAGGGGTTACAGGTGTGTTCAGGTGGTTACAGGTGTGTTCAGAGGTTACAGGTGTATTTAGGTGGGCACAGGTATATTCAGATGGTTACAGGTGTGTTCAGGGGTTACAGGTGTCTCCAGGTGGTTACAGGTGTATTTTGGTGGGCACAGGTGTGTTCAGGGGTTACAGGTGTATTCAGGGGGTTACAGGTGTGTTTAGGTGGTTACAGGTGTGTTCAGGGGTTAAGGGTGTATTTAGGTGGGCACAGGTGTGTTCAGGGGTTACAGGTGTATTCAGGGGGTTACAGTTGTGTTCAGATGGTTACAGGTGTGTTCAGATGGTTACAGGTGTCTCCAGGTGGTTACAGGTGTGTGCAGAGTGGGCACAGGTGTGTTCAGGGGTTACAGGTGTGTTCAGGTGGTTACAGGTGTGTTCAGGGGTTACAGGTGTGTTTTGGTGGGCACAGGTGTGTTCAGGGGTTACAGGTGTATTCAGATGGTTACAGGTGTCTCCAGGGGGGTTACAGGTGTGTTCAGGCGGTCACAGGTGTGTTCAGGCGGTCACAGGTGTGTTCAAGGGTTACAGGTGTCTCCAGGGGGGTTACAGGTGTGTTCAGGCGGTCACAGGTGTGTTCAGTGGTTACAGGTGTCTCCAGGTGTTCCAGGTGTTCCAGGTGGCCGCACCCCTGTCCCTGCAGATCCCTCAGGCCAAGCTCCTTTTCCCTCTGGGAGCCCCAGGAGGGCTGATCACCTGTGCCCCCCGTGCCCCCCATGCCCCCCATGCCCTCCGAATCCCCCTCACCTGTCCTGGCCCGTCCCCCTCACCTGTCCCGGCCCGTCCCAGCCCAAAGGAGCCGACCGGAAGCAGAAGACGGACCGGGAGAAGATGGAGAAGCGGACGCCCCACGAGAAGGAGAAGTACCAGCCCTCCTACGAGACCACCATCCTCACCGAGGTGAGCTCACCTGCCCCACCTGCCCCACCTGGCTGCCAGGGAGCAGGGCTCAGCTGCTCTGGAGCTTGGCTCCAGGTGTTCATACCTGTTTTGTACCTGCAGAAGGGCTCTGGGGACGTGGTTGGCCTGATTATTGACCTGCCCAGGTGTGTGCAGGGCCAGGTGTGTGCAGGGCCAGGTGTGTGGGGCTGGAGGTATGTGTGGGTCCAGGTGTGTGCAGATGTGTGTGTGCAGTGCAGCTGTGTGCAGGTACAGCCCCAGCCGTGTGCAGGTATAGCCCCAGGTGTGTCCAATGCAGGGGTGTGCAGGTACAGTCCCAGGTGTATGCAGATGTGTGCAGGTGCAGCCCAGGTGTGTGGTTCCAGGCGTGTGTGTGCAGTGCAGGTGTGTGTGCACAGCCCAGGTGTGTGCAGGTGCAGCCCAGGTGTGTGCAGGTGCAGCCCAGGTGTGTGCAGGTGTGTGTGTACAGTGCAGGTGTGTGCAGGTGTAGCCCAGGTGAGTGCAGGTGAGTGCAGGTGCAGCCCAGGTGCAGTGCAGGTGTGTGTGTGCGGTGCAGGTGTGTGCAGGTGCAGCCCAGGTGTGCACAGGTGTGTGCAGGTGCAGTGCAGGTGTGTGTAGGTGAGTGCAGGTGCAGCCCAGGTGCAGCCCAGGTGTGTGCAGGTGTGTGTGTGCAGCCCAGGTGTGTGCAAGTGTGTGCAGGTGCAGCCCAGGTGCAGCCCAGGTGTGTGCAGGTGTGTGTGTGCAGCCCAGGTGTGTGCAGGTGTGCGCAGGTGCAGCCCAGGTGTGTGCAGGTGTGCACAGGTGTGTGCAGGTGCAGCCCAGGTGTGCACAGGTGTGCACGGGTGTGCAGCCCAGGTGCCCCTGAGCTCACCTGGCGTGCCCGCAGTGCTCGCCCTGGCCCGAGGTCACCTACGTGCCCAACGCGCCGTCCCCCGGCTTCAACAGCTCCCACAGCAGCTTCTCCCTCGGGGACGGGTGAGTGCGGCACGCCGGGGGTGACACCGGTGACACCCCAGTGACACCCCAGTGACACCCAGGGACACCCCAGTACCACCAGTGACACCCCAGTGACACCAGTGACACCCCAGTGACACCCCAGTGACACCCCAGTGACACCAGTACCACCCCAGTGATACCCCAGTGACAACAGTGACACCCCAGTGACACCCCAGTGACACCCCAGTGACACCCAGTGACACCCCAGTGACACCCCAGTGACACCCCAGTGAAACCAGTGACACCCCAGTGACACCCCAGTGACACCCCAGTGACACCCAGTGACACCCAGTGACATCCCAGTACCACCAGTGTCACCCCAGTGCCACCCCAGTGACAGCATCCCCAGTACTGTCCCAGTGACCCCAGTACCCACTGGGACAGGTATCCCAGTATGACAGTGATCCCAGTGCCCAGTTACAATGCCCCCAGTGTCCCCAGTATCCCAGTGACCCGTCCCAGTGACCCATGTCCCTCTGTCCCCAGTATCCCCAGTATCCCACTGCCCCATGTCCCAGTATCCCAGTATCCCAGTGTCCCAGTATCCCAGTATCCCAGTGCCCCATGTCCCAGTATCCCAGTAACCCATGTCCCAGTATCCCCAGTATCCCACTGACCAGTATCCCAGTGTCCCTCTGTCCCCAGTAATCCCAGTGACCTGTGTCCCTCTGTCCCCACTGTCCCAGTATCCCAGTGCCCTGTGTCCCAGTATCCCCAGTATCCCAGTGTCCCAGTAATCCCACTGTCCCGTGTCCCAGTGTCCCAGTAATCCCAGTGCCCCCTGTCCCAGTAATCCCAGTGCCCCCTGTCCCAATAATCCCAGTAATCCCAGTAACCTGTGTCCCAGTAATCCCAGTGCCCCTGTCCCAGTAATCCCAGTGCCCCTGTCCCAGTAATCCCAGTGACCCGTGTCCCAGTAATCCCAGTGCCCCCTGTCCCAGTAATCCCAGTGCCCCTGTCCCAGTATCCCAGTGCCCCCATCCCAGTAATCCCAGTAATCCCAGTGCCCCGTGTCCCAGTAATCCCAGTAATCCCAGTGACCCGTGTCCCTCTGTCCCCAGCAGCGGGTCCCCGAGCCACCAGCCCGACCCCCCCGCGCCCCTGGCTGACGTAAGTACCTGCCCAGGTACCTGCCCAGGTACCCCTGGGGGTTCCACAGACCCTTGGGTCACCTGCAGACACCTGGGGGGGATTCCCACCTGTGTGACCCACCTGAGCTCACCTGAGCCTCAGCAGAAACACTTCCACATCACCTGGAAACATTTCCAGGTCACCACCTCATCCCACCTGTCCACTTCCCACCTGTGTGACCCACCTGAGCTCACCTGTGCCCCTGCCAGCACCTGAGCAGCTCAGCCAGGTCACCTGGTGGCACCTGTGTCCCCCCAGACGCTGCTGCCCACCTGGACCCCGCAGGAGGCGCAGCAGTGGCTGCACCGCAACCGCTTCTCCACCTTCTCACGGCTCTTCAGGAACTTCTCAGGTGAGTTCTGCCTCACCTGGGCTGGGTCACGGCTGCTCACCTGGGCCAGGTCACCTCCTCTCACCTGGGCTGTGTCACCTCCTCTCACCTGGCCAGGTGACCTCTCCTCCCCTGGGCCAGGTCACCTCACCTGGGCTGTGTCACCTCCTCTCACCTGGCCAGGTCACCTCCTCTCACCTGGGCTGGGTCACCTCTCCTCACCTGGCCAGGTCACCTCCTCTCACCTGGGCCATGTCACCTCCTCTCACCTGGGCCAGGTCACCTCTTTTCACCTGGCCAGGTCATGTCCCCTCACCTGGGCCAGGTCATGTCCCCTCACCTGGGCCAGGTCACCTCACCTGGGCCAGGTCACCTTCCCTCCTCACCTGGCCAGGTCACCTCCTCTCACCTGGGCCAGGTCACCTCCTCTCACCTGGGCCATGTCACCTCCTCTCACCTGGGCTGTGTCACCTCCTCTCACCTGGCTAGGCCACCTCTCCTCACCTGGGCCATGTCACCTCCTCTCACCTGGGCCAGGTCACCTCCTCTCACCTGGGCCATGTCACCTCCTCTCACCTGGGCCATGTCACCTCCTCTCACCTGGCCAGGTGACCTCTCCTCACCTGGCCAGGTCACCTCCTCTCACCTGGGCTGGGTCACCTTCCCTCACCTGGCCAGGTCACCTCACCTGGGCTGGGTCACCTCCTCTCACCTGGGCTGTGTCACCTCACCTGGCCATGTCACCTCTCCTCACCTGGGCTGTGTCACCTCCTCTTACCTGGGCCAGGTGACCTCACCTGGCCATGTCACCTCTCCTCACCTGGGCCAGGTCACCTCTCCTCACCTGGCCATGTCACCTCCTCTCACCTGGCCAGGTGACCTCTCCTCACCTGGCCAGGTGATGTCCCCTCACCTGGCCAGGTGAGCGTTCCCAAATCCCACTTTTCTCACCCAAAAGCCTCACCTGGCACCAGCTCACCTGGCACAGGTGACACAAGAGGGGCAGATTTTGGGGAAAACAGCTGGAAAATGGGAATCTGGGGAGAAAAAAAACTGATTTAGGGGAAAACAGCTGAAAATGCCGAGAAAACAAATTTTAGAATTACAATTTGGGGGGAAATTGAGGTAAAAAATCTTGAATTCAGGCAAAAATTGGTTATAAAATGCTGATTTTAAGGAAAATTAATCTGGAAAATGGCAATTATGGAAAAATGATGGTGAAAACATCATTTTGTGGAAAATAGATGTGAAAAAATGCTGATTTTGGGTAAAGCAAACTTGGAAAACGGCGATTTTGGGGAAGACTGAGCTGAAAAATGCCAAATTGGGGGAAAAAATAAAGCAAAAAAATGCTGATCTTGGGGGAAACAAAGCTGGAAAATGCTGGGTTTGGGTTAACCAAGCTAAAAAATGCTGATGTGTGGGAAAACGGGTGGAAAATGTTGATTTTGGGGGAAATTTGGCTGGAAAGTGCTGATTTGGAGGAAAATGAAGCTGAAAAAATGTTGATTTAAGGGTAAAAAAGGGTGAAAAGTGATGATTTTGGGGGAAAATGAGCTGGAAAATAGGGATTTTGTGACAACCAAAGTGGAAAATGCTGATTTTAGGAAAAATGAAGTTGAAAAAATACTGGTTTTGGGAAAACAAAGCCAAAAATGATAATTTGAGGGAAAGCAAAGCTGGAAAAGGCTGGTTTGGAGGAAAAGCAGGGGAAAAATTCCATTTTTGGGCAAACAGGAGAAGTTGGGGTGAATCTTGGGTGAATTTAGGGTGAATTTGGGGTAAATCTGGTGTGAATTTGGGGTGAATCTGGGATAAATTGGGTGAATTTGGGGTGAATTGGGTGAATTTGGTGTTAACCTGGAGTAAATCTGGGGTGAATCTGGGATAAATTTGGGATGAATTTGGAGTTAATCTGGAGTGAATTTGGGGTGAATTTGGAGTTAATCTGGAGTTTATCTGAGGTGAATTTGGGGTGGATTTGGGATGAATTTGGAATTAATCTGAGGTGAATCTGGGGTGAATTTGGAGTTAATGTGGAGTTTATCTGAGGTGAATTTGGGGTGGATTTGGGATGAATTTGGAGTTAATCTGGGGTTAATTAGGAGTTAATGTGGGGTTAATCTGAGGTGAATTCGGGGTAAATTTGGGATGAATTTGGGGTGAATTTGGAGTTAATGTGGGGTGAATTTGGAGTTAATGTGGGGTTAATCTGAGGTGAATTCGGGGTAAATTTGGGATGAATTTGGAGTTAATGTGGGGTAAATTTGGGGTGAATTTGGAGTTAATCTGAGGTGAATCTGGGGTGAATCTGGGATAAATTTGGGATGAATTTGGAGTTAATGTGGGGTGAATTTGGAGTTAATCTGGGGTTCGTCTGAGGTGAATTCGGGGTAAATTTGGGATGAATTTGGGGTGAATTTGGAGTGAATTTGGAGTGAATTTGGAGTTTATCTGAGGTGAATTTGGGGTGGATTTAGGATGAATTTAGGATGAATTTGAAGTTAATCTGAGGTGAATTCGGGGTAAATTTGGGGTGAATTTGGAGTTAATGTGGGGTAAATTTGGGGTGAATTTGGGATGAATTTGGAGTTAATTTGGGGTGAATTTGGAGTTAATTTGGGGTGAATTTGGGCTCTGCAGGAGCAGACCTGCTGAAGCTGACGCGCGAGGACGTGATCCAGATCTGCGGCCCCGCCGACGGCATCCGGCTCTTCAACGCCCTCAAGGGCAGGTGGGACTCACCTGGGGGGCTGGGACACACCTGGGGGGGCTGGGACACACCTGGGGGGGCTGGGACACACCTGGGGGGGCTGGGACACACCTGAGGGGGGCTGGGACACACCTGGGGGGGGCTGGGATACACCTGGGGGGGGCTGGGACACACCTGGGGGGGGGGTCAGGACACACCTGGGGGGGTCTGGGACTCACCTGGGGGGAGCTGGGACACACCTGGGGGGGATGGGACACACCTGGGGGGGCTGGGACACACCTGGGGGGGCTGGGACACACCTGGGTGGGGCTGGGACTCACCTGGGTGGGGCTGGGACACACCTGGGGGGGGCTGGGACTCACCTGGGGGGGGCTGGGACACATCTGGGGGGGGGCAGGACTCACCTGGGGGGGGCTGGGACTCACCTGGGGGGGGGCAGGACTCACCTGGGGGGGCTGGGACTCACCTGGGGGGGCTGGGACACACCTGAGGGGGGCTGGGACACACCTGGGGGGGGCTGGAACTCACCTGGGGGGGGCTGGAACTCACCTGGGGGGGGTCAGGACTCACCTGGGGGGGGCTTGGACACACCTGGGGGGGCTGGGACACACCTGGGGGGGGCTGGGACTCACCTGGGGGGGGCTGGGACACACCTGAGGGGGGCTGGGACACACCTGGGGGGGGTTAGGACTCACCTGGGGGGGTCAGGACTCACCTGGGGGGCAGCAGGACTCACCTGAGGGGGGCTGGGACACACCAGGGGGGGGCTGGGACTCACCTGGGGGGGGCTGGGACACACCTGGGGAGGCTGGGAGGGGCAGAGTGCCCAGGTTGGAATGCCTGGGAAGCATCAGCACACACCTGGCAGGGACAGGTGGGAATTCCAGGTGGGAATTGCAGGTGGGAATTCCAGGTGGGAATTCCAGGTGGGAATTGCAGGTGGGAATTCCAGGTGGGAATTGCAGGTGGGAATTCCAGGTGGGAGTTCCAGGTGGGAATTGCAGGTGGGAGTTCCAGGTGGGAATTGCAGGTGGGAATTGCAGGTGGGAGTTCCAGGTGGGAGTTCCAGGTGGGAATTGCAGGTGGGAATTGCAGGTGGGAATTGCAGGTGGGAATTGCAGGTGGGAGTTCCAGGTGGGAATTGCAGGTGGGAATTGCAGGTGGGAATTGCAGGTCGGGGTTCCAGGTGGGAATTCCAGGTGGGAGTTCCGGGTGGGAATTGCAGGTGGGAATTGCAGGTGGGAGTTCCAGGTGGGAGTTCCAGGTGGGAATTGCAGGTGGGAATTGCAGGTGGGAATTGCAGGTGGGAATTGCAGGTGGGAGTTCCAGGTGGGAGTTCCAGGTGGGAATTGCAGGTGGGAATTGCAGGTGGGAGTTCCAGGTGGGAATTCCAGGTGGGAGTTCCAGGTGGGAGTTCCAGGTGGGAATTGCAGGTGGGAGTTCCAGGTGGGAATTGCAGGTGGGAATTGCAGGTGGGAGTTGCAGGTGGGAATTGCAGGTGGGAATTGCAGGTGGGAATTCCAGGTGGGAATTCCAGGTGGGAATTCCAGGTGGGAGTTCCAGGTGGGAATTCCAGGTGGGAGTTCCAGGTGGGAGTTCCAGGTGGGAATTGC